ATATATATATATATATATATACTGTTAATCATTAAGACATAAATATTTAGGAAAATAATAAGCTCATGCTTATAATCCTAGCTACTCAGGAGGCTGAGATCTGAGGATCACGGTTCAAAGCCAGCCTAGGCAGGAAAATTTGTGAGACTCTTATCTCCAATAAACCACTAGAAAACCGGAAGTGGCACTCACCTTGAGCTGAAAGGCAGTGCCCAAGCCCAGAGTTCAAGCCCATGAACAACAACAAAAAAAAGTAATAAGCTCTCAATCCCCAATAAATAAGACTATTTAGCCTATAGCTACTAGATACTATGAAAAATGTCTGAGTTAAGGTACTACATGCTGAAAACTGTTTGAAAACCCTGATGTTATAAGGTAGGTTTTTTTCCTTTTTTTTTTTCTTTTTTCCAACTCCTTCCTTCTAAAGTGATTGGTGATAAGCTCAGGAATTGGGTCTGGCTGGGCTGACGTTATCATTGTTCATGCAGAACTTTTAACCCTGCCTTGTGACTCTGACAGCTGAAGGATGGGTTAAAATTTTCTTCACCCAGATCGTCCATTCCATAATGAGATGATAGCCACTTGGAGTGAGCAGGATGCCTGCCTTCCTGTTACAAAAACAGAAAAATAAGTCTCCATTTGTGCACTAGGGTTAGGGTTTTACTGTCCTGAACTAGGAGTGGCTTCAACACCCAATCTGCCAACTTTTAACATCAGAAAGACCACAGTGTGAGTGTGGGAAACGCGTTGTGGTTATTGCTGGTGGACAGCCTGTGCACTTTTTATCTGCCTTTCAATAACCTGGCTCAGTAAGCTACCTTGTGGAGTTATCATCGTTTTTAAGAAAACAAGTGTATCTTGGCCATCCTACAGGAAGGACCTTGCAGCAAACTGGCCTTCCATATGATTGATGGACTTGGATGTGGTCAGGGTGAGCTGCCGGTCACACTGTCCTTCAGTATTGTCTAGGCAGCTGAAACAGGGCGGTGGCTTCCAGTTATGCTCACATGTCTGTATGCTGGTTCGTTCTAAATCTTTTTCTGAGAAGGAGTCTGGGCCCCACTCCCTGTCTTTATCTCAAAGGGGAGATGAGTTACCCTCGCCCCCCCCCCACACACACCCATTTTTCTGCCTGTGCTGGCTTGGAACTATGATCCTACAGACCCCACCCCCTAAAAAGCTAGGATTATAGGTATGAGCTACCAACCCCCGTTTTCTAGAGAAAGAAAGAGAGGAACTTTTTTTCCTTTTCATTTCTATATTGGGGAGAAAACAGGTCATTTTTCTGTAGAATCCCTACAGCCCTGGTTTGGCTGACGGCGGCTGTGTGGTGTCCTTATGCCACGAGGGCTTGCTGTGGACAGTTGTATCCATCCTGAGACGTGATCTAGTTCAGAATCTGAGATATGGAAAGGAGGTCTCCTAGGTGGAGATGTGGTTCTCCTGTACACACCCTCCTGATGTCTTGAGTTCAGGTGTGTCTGCCTGCTCCAAAGACTCCCTTCCCTTCCTCAGTGGCCTGCACACGGATGGTTCCCTTGCCTCCCGTTCATTACCACACGGGGTGGAGAGACAATGGATGACATCGTTGCGCCCTCCTGCACACCGAGGGCTGAAATTCATCAGCAGCAAAGAACATCTACCATCTTCTCTTGACCTTTTATTAAAAGAATAAGATCATGTCTTAGCCCCCTCCAAAGCAGCAGTGATTGTGAACCATTGGAAATGTTCCGATCCGTTGAAGTCACTATTTTCTGAAATGCAAATGATCTCATCGTTGTCCACTTCAACTTTGCTCGTGATCTTCATGTACCACCTCCCCTCTTTCTGCCAAGACAAAAATCGCACACATTTCCTGCCCCATCCTGCGATCAGCCATCCTCCCTCCCCCAAGGAATCTGCTTCCCTTCAGAGCCATTGTAATTTTTTGGTGGACAGAAATCTGGGTACTTAATGTTCATTGCTGTTTTAGCTTTTATTTTTTAGAGGGGGGTGCTAGTCCTGGGATTTGTACTCAGGGCCTGGGTACTGGCCCTGAGCTTTTTATTGCTCAAGGCAATAAAAAAAAAAGCCACAGCTTCACAGCTAGCTTTTTTTAATATAGTAAATAGGAGATAAGAGTCTCACACACTATTGTACCTGGGCTGGCTTCGAGCTATGATCCTCAGATCTGTCTCCTGAGTAGCTAGGATTACAGGCATGTGCAACCAGCACCCAGCAGGTTTTTGTTTTGTTTTGTGAACCCAATGTTTCTAGATCTTTTTGGTGAATATACCTAAAATATGTAAATATTGTAGAAGATGAATCATAAGTTCTTATTCACATTTTGAATTCAAACTTCAGATACTAGAAATTTAACTTAATTTCTCTAGTTTTCAAATTGTATCTCTTTTCTCTTACACTTACTCTTGAGTCGGGCAGTGGTTGCTTATCCCTGTAATTTTGGCTACTCAAGAGGCTGCAATCTGAGGATTGTTGTTCAGGGCCAGCCTGAGTAGGAAAGTCTGAGACTCATCTCCAATTAACGACCAGAAAACTCGAAGTGGCACTGTGGTTCAAAAGTGGTAGAGTGCTAGCCTTGAGCAAAAGAGCTCAAGGACAGTGCCCAGACTGCGAGTTGATGCCCCATGATTGAAAAAAAAAATTTTTTTTTGTTCCTAGAGATGGAAGTATAGTTTAATGGTGGGGCACTTGGCTGGCTAGTGTGGGCAAGGCCCTAGATTCAATACCTAGTGACACAAAAAATACAGGAAAAGGGGAAGGAAAAGAAAGAGGAAAAAACAAATCGTGTAACTAGGGATACAGGTGGGCCCATTACAACAATGAGATGTATAAGGCGTTATGTCAAAAATGAACTTTACAACTTTGGTGGGGGGGGGAGAGGAGGGAGCAGGGAGGATTGGGTGAGGGGGCAGGGGGAGGATGGGAAGGGATGGGAAGGGGAAACAAAGGAGGAGGCTACAATGCTTGATAAGAAATGTACTCATTGGGGCTGGGAAGGTGGCTCAGTGGTAGAGTGCTTGCCTTGCATGCCTGAGGCCCTGGGTTCGTATTCCTCAGCACCACATAAGCAAAAAGAAAAAAGCTAGAAGTGGTGCTGTGGTTCAAGTAGTAGAGTGCTAGCCTTGAGCTGAAGAGCTGAGGGACAGCACCGAGGCCCAGAGTTTAGGTCCCACGACCGGACCCAAAAAAAAAAAAAAAAGAAATGTACTCATTATCTTGCCCATGTAATTGTAACCCCTCTGTACAGTATTTTCACAATAAAAAAAGAAAGAGGAAAGAAGGAATATATATATACATATATGTGTGTGTGTGTGTGTGTGTGTATATATATATATATATATATATATATATATCAGTCTTTAAAAATCCATTGGAAGAAGAGGAAAGATAGGCAGGGCGAGGAAATGGTGAAGGAAGCCAGAGAAGACAGAGGAAGGAGGCAGAGAGTGGGCCTGAGGTTGTAGCTTCATAGCGACTTCCTGGTAGTTACCCATAGCGGCTCCCAGCAGCATGTGGGTCATCTTCAATCACAGCTCGTTTAGGATTTCCTGTGTTCAGTTTTGCCTTCGTGAACTCTTGGAGACTTCCAGCTAGTAAATAAAGCCAGTGCCAAAGCACCCTGCTTGGAATCCACTGACCTCTTCTCCCACCTTCCATCCCTGGCTAGAGTTCCATCCTGTTCTTCCCACCAGGCTGCAGCCCGCCTGCCCTGCCTCCAGGGTCCCAGGCTCCATCAGGTTCACATGGACTCTTCACACAAGTCTTAACCCTTTGGCAGAGTAGTATCCAGCCCGGGCATTGGCTGGAGACTTTACTTTGTCAAAGAAAAGCTTTCCTGAAGGGAAGAAAGACTGCCTTTTCCTGGAAGGTCATGTGCCTCATGTTCCTATTGGTTGTAATGTGGTCACATGACTAGCATACCTGCCAGTGGGGGAAAGCAGCCCACCCAGCTGCCCACACACCCTGGAACATCTACCTTGTCTCTGACTTGAGATCACTTGACAGAGCCTTGGCCTTCTCCCCTGCCCTTCTCCTTAGGAGAAATCCCCTTCTCTTATGTCCTCTCCTAACCCCAGGACATGACCCTGTGTTGCTGGTCTCATCCCAGGGATGAATTTCTCTCCTAGGCCTCTAAACCAGCAAAGCCAGTTTGTCTATTGAATGCACACACATGAACACATACGCACACTCTGTATGTACACACTAGTCTTCACCTACAACAAACACCATACACAGCAAATATACCATACCATATCGCTAACATCAAGAGAATGCATCACAACCATGCAGCATATATCACACATGCACAGATGCAGCACACACATGCTGCACTCCATTCATACACACAAACATCTTCCACAAGCCCTATGCACACACAATTCCCATGCATACTGCACACACACACACACCAGGCACACAACAGGCACACACCACACACTTTCTTCGTTCTAACTGGATTTTCTGTAACCCCCCACCATGCTCTCCAATTCTCTGCACAACTGTTGAATGATCTTTGAAAACCACATATCACACCAAGAACTGGTGGCTCACGCCTGTAATCCTAGCTACTCAGGGAGGCTGAGATCAGAGAATCACAGCTGGAAGCAGTCCAAACAGAAAAGTCCATGAGACTCTTATCTCCAATTAACCACCAAGTGGAGTTGTGGCTCAAGTAGCAGAATGCTAGCCTTGAATGGAAAAAGTCAAGTGAGAATGCAAGGTCCTGAGTTCAAGTCCTAATATCAGCACCCAAAAAAAAAAATCAAGCCACTTTCTCCCTTAAATTCCTTTCCCCCTTCCTAGCATCATCCCAAAGGCTTCGGTATAAAACTTGAGCTTCTGATTCGAGCTATCTGAGCCTCCTCCATCTAGCACTGTCCACCCCCGCCCCCGCCACCCACTGCACATCTGCCCCACTGCTAGACAGGCAATCTCTACATGGGGCCCTCAGAAGCTAAATGGGCGATTGACACTCACACGCTCTTCCTCCCACACAGATCAAAGTTGAAAACCAGCATGACTACCAGGACATCACCAGTGTGGTGGCCATGACCAAAACCTATGCCACCACCGAGGCCTTCATCGACTCTAAGTATGACATCCGCATCCAGAAAATCGGATCCAATTACAAGGCATACATGTGAGTCCAAGGGGCAGGGCCTGGGGTGCTGAGGAAGATGGGGGGGGCTCATCCTGCCCTGCCTTCCCCACATAGGGTGGCCACCAACCCCTGCAACATCATGGCTCTCCCTTTGTGTCCTCTCCTGCCCTTCTTCAACACATGAGCAGCTGCAGGCTCATGTGTTGGCACAGCTGCTCCCAGGGTGGGTCTCTCTTCCCAAGCAAGGACCATACCCAGAGAAAGAAAGAGGTTTGGCCTATTTAGAGGAGCTGTGTTTGAAGTCAAGATTGAAAGAAGTTTGGGGGTAAATCAAGGAGGTGTTTGAACGCCTTGCTGAGCATTTGGGATTTTTTTTCCCATTCTCTTCTATGCAGAGAAGCAATGTGGCCCAATCTGTGTGGCTGATTACAAAGGAGCTGCCTTAGAACCAATAAAAACCAGTCAGGAGGCCAGATCAGGTTTCTCTAGCCGCAAGCAACAGAAACCACATCTGACTAACAGGATTTGGGTTTTAGTTTTTTTGTGCCACCAGAGCTAGTATGTTTGTTTGTTTTGTAAGAGAACTCATTAGAAAATTACAGGTGCTCTGAAACTGTTAAAATACCAAATTACCTATTTCAGACACATTAGGATCCAGAATAGCTTCAGGAATCTGGAGTAGCCAGGAACAACCATCATCATGGCAACCCCCACTGAACAAGGAACCACCCTCAGTGTATATCTCCCTGTTTTGATTCTATGGAAAGAATGACCACTGACCAACAAGTAAAGAGACTGAAAACCAGTCTGGAGAGTCCATTGGGAAGGCAGGCACTGTGGGCACGGTCATTCCACAGGGGAAAGGAATGAATGTCAGCAGATAAAAACAGCTTACCTGCACCCCAAGGTACTTTAGCAAAGGATGATCCCCAACAAGACTCAAAGGATACACTTCAGCAGGATTCTGGACTAGGCGAGAGGACTCGGGCTTAACGGAAGTCTGGTCAGTTCTCCAGCCTCTCTGTCTCTCACTTTGGATCATGGTTGTTTGTTCCCTTTGTGTCAGTGAGATCCCAGAGATGAAAACGTTGTCTGGTTGCCAAGCACAGAGGGAGCACTGGCTGTGGGGCTCCATGGTTGAGGATGTCCGTGGGTCCAACCATAGGCTAGAAAGTCTGTCTGTCCATATGCTTCTGTGTAGTGTAACTTGTAATCTAAGGTTGGGTCAGCAAGCCACAGTTCACAGACTCAACCCAGCTGCTACCTGACGCCATACAGGAAACCATGTTGACCACAGCCATATGTATCTGTTGGTGTATGTGTTACCTATGGTTGCTTTTGCGCCACTTGCTTAAGGTTGCTTAAGCCAGGGCTCAGCAAACCTTTTGTATAAAGGGCCAGGTGATGATTTTAGTCCTTAAGGCTCACTTGGTCTCTGTGGCAACCACTACACTCTTCCATTGTCAGGAGGCCCTAAAGGAAACACAGGTGATTGATCAAGAAGGAAATGGTATCATGAAAGAGACGGAACTAGTTCTCAAGAGATAGATCTGCCCCACCTTACGAAGGAGGCCAGGACTGTCATTGCTCCCAGATGTCCTCAGAGGGATAAGATTGTCTCCTCTGTCCCTTCAGAGTTAGAGCCCATTTCAGTGAAGCAACTCGGTGTAATCCCAAGGCCTCCATGGTCCATCCGCCATGATATGATTTCCCTCCTCCTTTACTGTTAGAGATCCACTTGACATTGACGACACCTTGTCCCAGTTTCTTTTCTTAAGGCTGACCTCATTGCTGCATTCATCAGGCGGAGCCTCTCTGGCCTGACAGCTCCAATTTGTCACTTGTTACACAGTTTCCTGGACCCTGGGATGGCCCTCGTCCAAGGGTAGGAGTGCAGGTCAGACTTCAGAAGAGTCCTTTCTGCCCTGAACCGCTCTACCTCCTCATCCTGCCCTATTGTTTCCCTGAGAAGACACGTATCCGTACCCACATACATATATGTACACCCATAGTTACTTTGTGTTTCAGTCATAGGTATATTAAGTTCAAGAGAATCACACTGGTGTCTCCAATTTGTACCCAGTACCATACCTTTATTTTAGCTCTCCCTTATAACTTATATATAACTTCTCACTCCAGCCAGAGGAAGCCTGGTTGTTGCCATCCTCCATCCATCCATTGACTTATCTCTTTAAGCCCTGTCCATGTGTGCAATTTCAGCCTGGCACCTATAGACCCAGGGCTATAGCACAGTGCTATTCAGTCTTGCAGCTGCCACTCAGGTCAAGAGTTCCTTAGACTCGAACCTTTCCTTCCAGGTTATCCCTCAAGTTCATGTTGAGATCACACTCCCCAAGTTGATGGTATCAAGACTGAGGTTTGGGAAGGGGATTCAATTATGGAGGATAGGATTAGTGCTCTGAAAAAGACACAGGAGGTGGAGGGGGAACCTTGCCTCTTCTATCCAAGGAAGCAGCAAGAAGGCATCATCTGTGATCCAAACATGGGCTCTCAGCGGACATTAACTCTTTCAAAGACCTTGATCAGGGACATCCCAGCCTCCAGAACTGTGAGAAATAAACTCCTATTATGTATAAGGCACCACCCAGGTGATGGTATTTTCCTATAGCATCCCAAACAGGCTATGACAACTTATAACCTGGGTAGATACACTGGTCACCATCTCCACTTCCCCCTGCATGCCAGTGGCTGCATTACATTCAGGCTTCAGACAGGTCCCCATCTCTACCTCTGTGACGGGGTCTGCCTCAGAGAGTCAAGCTTGAGAATGTGAAGTTTGTAAGATGTAGGTCCATGGCTTTGGCCATGAGGCAAGAATAACAATAACCCTGCCATCACCTTGGTCGTGGTGAAGCAGAAGTGAGCCAGTTCTTATAAAGCCTTTAGACCCATGTCCTAGATGGAGAGAACATTCTTCGAATATCAGCTTCCACTCTCCTTCTCCTCTTGGGAGAAATGCAGTCTGGCTTGTGTTCCTGCCACTTTGGCTTTGGAATGCCTTCTTGCCTTATCTAGCCTCTTCCTGAAAATAACAGGAGCTTCCATTGCGCTGCTAAGAGATTTATGGGAATCTTTCCTTTTGTTCTCACAGTCCCCTGTGAGGTCGCCCAGTCAACAGTTACTCCCATTTTACCAGCAAGGAAATACAGGCATGGAGGTGTTACCCATAGCTCTATTGCTATAAAAAAAAAAAAATGTTGGGACCCAGATTTCTAGGCAGAAGTGACTGAGCTTGGTTCCTACCTTCTCTCACCACCATCCAGATCTCGCTGGTTCTCCAAGGCACATCCCAGTGGCTGCCTTTCTGGGGTTCCCTTTACTGATTCTGCTTTCCAGAGCTGGTATCCCTCACTGCTAGCCCTACCGTGCCTGCCCTCTGGTTGGAAGCAAGTGCACACATCTCTGTACGCTCAGACTAGTCCATAGGCTGGACACAGGGTGGCCCGTTGCCCATCTGAATGGGAGTGATCCCATTATGCTGAGCCGAACCGACTGAACTGGCAAAAGCTCATCCATGGTGCTGTGCCTTTTAGTAATTATGGCTCCTGGTGGCCACCGTTGTTCTCAGTTCTTATATACTTGGTTTCCTCTCTTAGAAAGACATGTACATGTGTCTGCCCCTCCTCCAAACTCACCCTCAGGTCTCAACTGCATGTCTTCCCTTGGCCCTAAGACAAACAACTTTCTGTCGCCTGTTTTTGCCTGAACGTGTTGGGTCTCTGCACCCGCATGCGCACTGGGTGCTAGGCCCTGGGTTGTCCAGCGGTCCTGCTTTCAGGACTTCTGTCCATGTGAGAGGACAAGACACAGCGCAGGTCTGACGGGTGCAGTGAGCACTCCTGAGAACCGGGTGGGGTGTCAGGAAGGGGAGGTTTGAGGATGACATTGCAATTGAAGCCTGGAGGATGATAGATAGGGTCTTAGGGGACCAAGAGGCATTGATCACATAGGACACAGGGGCGCTTGTGGGCAGGTATGACCCAGGGGAGGAGCTCTGCTCAGTGGAACATCAGAGGAAACCAGTCTTGGTCTGGGTGCTGTCCCTGAGCTTCTTTTCTGCTCAAGGCTAGCCCTACCACTTGAGCCACAGCTCCACTTCCGGTTTCTGGTGGCTAACTGGAGATGAGTCTCACAGACTTTTCTGTCTGGACTAAGAGCCTCACAGACTCGGGCCTATTCAAGCTCAGGATGCCGATGGGGGGGGGGGGGGGGGGATAGGAGTTGATCTGCTTTATTTCTTTACCTAGGTGAGCTCCACAGGTGGATTTATTGGTACAAAGTCTCAGAGCATTAGCTTTTGGTTTTCACACTTTTCTGCGTGTGTGTTGGGCTTTAATTAATATAGTTGTTACACTAATGGTCTGCCCTAGGGCCTTTGCATTGTCAGTGCCCTCTGTCTATGAGATCCAGAATGACCACACTTGCCAGGAAAGAATTTGTTTCTTGGCTGCCCTATCAACATAGCTCCCCCTCCAAGACTTTCAGAGTCACCAAGGCCTATACCATCCCAGTGCTCCTCAAAAGAGAGAGATGAAGTGCAAATGTAACTAAATACTTGAGATAATCACCCTAAAGAAGTCACTATTTAAGAAGTTTCTTGGGGCTGGGAAGGTGTCTCAGTGGTAGAGTGCTTGCCTTGCGTGCATGAGGCCCTGGGTTTGATTCCTCAGCACCACATAAGCAGAAAAAGCCAGAAGTGGTTCTGTGGCTCAAGTGGTAGAGCACTCACCTTGCTGAAGAGCTGAGGGACAGCGCCCGGGCCCAGAGTTCAAGCCCCATGACTGACAAAAAGCAAAAGAAAAAGTTTCTTAGCCCTGTTGCTTTGGGTCCTTAGCAGTATGGAGATGGTGTGGCAGAGAAGGCCCATTCACCCCACAGCAGGCTGGAAGCCAAGATGCAGACCAGGAAGAGGCCAGCGTCCCAATATCCTGCCCAAGAACATGACTTCCATGATCTAACTCCCTCCTTCTAGGCCTCCTAAAGGATCCACCACCTTCCACCCCGCCAAGCCCAGAACCAAGTCTGTAACGCATGAGCCTTTAAGGGAGGTTTCTGAGCCAAATGATAGCACCACACTGGGAGGAATTTTATCTGATATCAAACATGTATCTGATGGTATCACCATAGGTTTTAATACTAAAATAAACCAGCTGAGAAAAAGCAATGCATGAGATCCAACAAACAGCCAGGTACCTATTGCATGAAATCCTATCTACTCAGGAGGCTAAGATCTGAGAATTGCAGTTCAAAGACAACCCGGGGCAGAAAAGTCTGACTCTTCTTACCTCCAATAAGCCAGCCAAAAGCCAGAAATGGAGGTATAGTTCAAATATATATATATCAGCATGAAGGGAAAGCAAAGCCAGAAAATAAGAGTGAAGTCTGGACCTAAAATGTGCATGCCATAATGGGAATCGGATATTTAAATCAAAGCCCCTAACAGCCCAAGCAAAGAGGGAAAGCAGATCATTCAGGAATGCCTAATGGCCGCTGTGCTGTCTGTTCTGATGCAGGAGGACCTCCATCTCCGGAAACTGGAAAGCCAACACAGGCTCAGCCATGCTGGAGCAGGTGGCCATGACAGAGAGGTAAAAAACAAAGAACATGCAGGGAGAGGCACCTGCAGGAGTGAGAGCTATGGGAGAGGACAAAAAGGGCACTATGAAGAACTCTACCCCCACCTACCCTCTGTCCAGTACCCTTACAGGGCACTGCGTGGGGGTTGCTTGGCATTACCGCCCACAGGACCTACACGGCCCTGTAGGCCCTGTATTGAAGTGGCTACTCTTTACAGATGGGAGAGGCTCAGAGAGGAAGTAACCTGCCCGGTATCTCAGAACTGATTAACAGGGACAACTGAGAGCCAAATGCTGATGTCCAAATCCAGGGGTCTTTGCAGCCCTTCCCCGCTGCCCCCTAGCTGGGCACAAAGCCCGTCCAGGCCCTCCTAGGCACTGAGGAAACACCCAGGCTGGAGAGTCGGGAGCATAGGGAGACAACCCCTTCCTTCTCTTCCATCACCACGCAAACAGGGGCAGGCTGATTTCCCAGGATGCAAGGGTTTCAGGGGCTTGCCTTGGCTGAAGGCCCTGCAGGACTTTCTCACTTAAACACTGCCAAGGAGCATCCTCGCTGATTAAGAGCCAACCCATACACGGTTTTTTTTTCTCTGCATGCCCAGTGAGGAACCTCAGCTGGCAAGCAAGCGCTGGTAGAGAATAGACTATGGGATGAAAAGGCTCTGTTCTAGCCTAGGGTCGGTGACTCACGCCTGTCATCCCAGCTACTCAGAAAGCTGAGATCTGAGGATCCAGGTTGGAAGCCAACCCAAGCAGGAAAGTGTGAGATTCTTATCTGCAATTAAATAGAAAAAAAAGGTAGTGTATCAGCCTTGAGGGGAAAAAAAACAAACTAAGGGACAGTGCCCAAGCTAAAAAACAATGCCCAGGCCCTAAGTTCAAGCCCTAGTATCGGGTGCAAACACACACATACACACACACACACACACACACACACACACACACACACACACACAGAAACATTTATTTGTGCCTATTGCATGCCACATTGTGCTGAACAAGAAGGAGGCCATAGCCAAGGACCAGTGGCTCACGCCTGTAATCCCAGCTACTGGGGAATTTGAGATCTAAGGATTTTACTTCCAAGCCAGCTTAGGCAGTAAAGTTTACAACTAACTACCAAAAAGCCAGAGGTGGATGTAGAACTCAAGTAGTAGTATGCTAGCCTCTAGCAAAAAAAAAAAAAAAAGCTCAGGCATAACACCCAGGCCCTGAGTTCAAGCCCCAGGACACACTCATACACACACACACACACACACACTTTTTAAAAACTCCCATCTTTTCCTCGAAGAACTCTAGACCAGAACACAGGTCAAATTGCTTGTTCTTTGGGAGATGTATTGCTAAAACCGTTGCTAAAACCTTGAGTTCTAGCATTTATGAGGCCCGAAGACTCTTGCCCCACCCATTCTCCTCCTGAACTCTTTCTACATGGATTGTTGGGAATGTGCTTTCTTCCAGCGGGCGCCCAGAGCTTCCAGGCCCAGAACCTCAGTGTCAGCCAGTCCGACAGAAGGAAAACATCTCTTTTCCAACCATTTCATTCAGAGCTTAGACCTGAGCCTTATTCATTGATTGGCCAGTCTCGGATCACATGACCATCACTAAACCCATCAATATGGCCAAGGCAGGTGTAATTCTACAGGATAATATGTTAGACAGGGACCATCTCTATGGCAACAAGTGAGTGAAATTCAGGGGGCAGCCATTTCTTCTTGTGTTTAATTCTCCTGGTGATTGTAATACCTAACCTGATCCGTCCAAGCTACTTTACAGATAAGGAAACTGAGCTATAAGAGGGAGATTCTTATGCAAAATTACTGAAGAATTGGTAACAAAACTGTGCATATCTAGTGCCCCATGTTGAGTAAGAACAGTCCATCCATAATCTGCTCCAAATGAGAGGAAAGGTAGTTAGCTCAGGACCTCAAACCAAATGGGATCTATTGAAAGCCACAGTCACATTTACATCTCTCTGAATTTCAATTTTTCCCCCTGTAAAATGGGTTCAGGCCACCCAGTCCATTCAATTGGAGTTAAGAGAGAATGAGGAATCAGCCCTGTGGGCACATGGTGCATGGTAGAGCATGTAGGCATGAGTCTTCATCCTGCTTTTCACTCCCAGAATGCTCCTGGCTGCTACTGAGGAAAGAACTGATCTAGGTCCCAGCAGAGCTATTTTTGCTTTGGTCTCTGACCCAGGAGAGCCTGCCTCTGTCTCTGGGCCTCAGTAGATGCTGACGAATGGGATGAGAAAGCACTAAAAACACTTCAGTCCGTGACCCCTCCTTACTCCAGGCCCTGTGGTTCCGAGACACAAACAGTTCTAAGAGCAGGCGTACCCCCCATGTGACCCTGGAGAGCAGGGAGAGAGGCAAGAACAGGCACACAGAGTCCCCTGTGACTCCCAAATCCAGCCCACAAGGGAAGCTAAGAATAAGCCCAGAAGATGTCTCCAGAGACAGCAGTCCTCTCTGTTACAGGGGTCAAAGGGCAGCATAGAGCCCTGTCCCCAGCAAAACAAACTGGCCCTGCAGCCATCAAGTGGCTGGAAGGGAAACAAAAGCAATGGGTCCAGAGGGCCAGAGCCCCCGGGCTAGGCAGGAGCACCCTGCCTGCCCCCACCCCCAGCTCAGGGAGAATCCACGCTTTGTCCCTGCAGGCTCTTGTGGGGCTGGTTCCCAGCCTGCTCACAGCATTCCCAAGGGAAAAGGGCGCAGGGACTGCTGGGTGTCAGGGATGGCTCTAGATGTGGACAGGGCTGGCTCTCTGCTGCAGACTTGGCAAAGGTCCTGGGGTGGAGGAGGGGGGGAGGGGGGGGTCTCCTATCACTGGACTCTAGCTCTTCTCTCCTTCACCCTTCCTTTCTTCCCGCTTCACCTCTCCCCTTCCCTCCCCTCTGTCTCTCTGTCTCTCTGTCTGTCTCTCTCTCTCACTACCTTGTCTTTCTATCTCTAGGTATCCCTCCAAAGCTCTGTCTCAACACCTTTCTGCTCTGATTCCTCTTTAATGCTCATTGCCTGTCTGTCTGTCCAGGTACAGGCTCTGGGTGGACAGCTGCTCAGAAATGTTCGGTGGCCTGGACATCTGTGCCGTTAAAGCCGTCCACAGCAAGGACGGTAGAGATTACATCATTGAGGTGAGGGCTGAGGATGCCCCCGTTCCCCTCCTCCCCCCGCCCAGCCCTGACGGGAGGGCATAAGGAAGGAATCCAGCCCAGGCCCTGGTGTGGTCAGCTATGTCTTGGAACTGGCCTGACACACACAGCCCAGGCCTCAGGGAGCGGCTGCCAATGCTCTGTCACCTGACCCCACCCTGGCCACAGTGGCAAGCTCCGTGCTTAGCAATTCTGAACTCAGTCCCTAGGCTCTGGATGTGAAGTTAACCACTCTCCCCAACTGTCCAGCCAAGAGACCATCCCGCTGGGCTTTGCTATTGTCCTCAGTATCCCGGCAGGTGATGTGAACTCACTTCCAGTCACCACGCAGAGATTTCATCATTGTGTTCGTGGGCCTCAGAGGTCCTCTGGGCTGGGCCCAGGATGGATCTGAGACACAACATAGATTCAATGGACAAGGAGCTGGGCACCAATAGCTCACACCTGTAATCCTCGCTACTCAGGAGGCTGGGATCTGAGGATCGAGGTTCAAAGCCAGCCTAGGCAGGAAAGTCCACCAGATTCTCATCTCAACCCCCTAGAAAACCAGAAATGGCGCTGTGGCTCAAGTGGTAGAGCACTTGCCATGAGCTGAAGAGCTGAGGGACAGAGCCCAGGCCCAGAGTTCAGGCCCCATCACCAACCAAAAAAAAAGAAAAAAGAAAAAAAGAATGGAAGGAAAGATTAGGGAAATCACACTGAAAGAGGCTGGCAGGGAGCTGTAGCCCCACGTCCCTCCGGAGACCATCCTATAACCCATGTCTCTCCCGATCCTCCTCTCCCCTCTCCTCCCAAGGTGCCCCATCTCTCCTGGCCCCATAATCCCCCTCTCTTGCCACAGCCACACCCCAGAGCTCCCTCCTGCTCTCCCTAAAATGCCCCTCTGGGTCTCAGAGTCGCGGCTGTCCCTCCCCACCCAGCCCTCCCAGGGCTTTCTTCTCAGGGCACAGGGCGGAACAGGCTGACACCAGTCCAAGACACGTGAGGGACAGCCCTGTGGCTGGCGCACCCCAGGCGTGGGCGGCTAATGGGAAGCACATGGCCGGGGTGACCACAGGAGCCAGCCAGGCCTCCCGTCCCTCGTGCCTTCCCGCTCCCCAGGGACCCCGGGCACAGCCATGCCAGGTAGCTTCATGGGGGGGGGGGGGCAGATGGAGGGGTTACCATGCCAGGGGTGGAGGCTGCCTTGGTGGATGGAGGGGGGCTCCCACAGGATGGGTAGCATCTATGTTTGAGATCCAGGCCTCCTCACCTGCCACTGTATACCCGAAGTCCCCCACCCCCACACACTCATGAAGACAACGTGGAAGTGCCAAGAACAGAACTGCCAACCTGGAAAGCCATTCCTAGAAGAGCCAGGCTCGTGGGTTCCCTGTGAGCTTCAGACCAGGGCTGGGAATGAGGCCCCTTTGCCTGATCACCCCAGCTCCTCCCGCCCCACTGGGCCTCCTCTGTGGCCTCTTCTCACCAAGATGGAAGCCAGGAGCCTGGCTTTGCCTCTCAATCATTCACCATTGAACCACTCCACTGGGTGTCCAGCCCCGAGCTGGAAACCCAGGACCCAGCAGTGGGCAGGAGGTCAGGGACTGCTCCTCAGAGCCGGACACTACAGAGGGCCCGCAGCCTCCTTAGGCAGCCCAGGCCCTTCCTTGTCTCTGGGACCAGCACCTCTTGAGCTCCCTCTACTTTCTGTCTTTGGCAGGACAAAAAGAAACCTGCGCCATGACTCCAGTTTATAAAGTCATGTTGCTTTTTTAGTATCATTACTGCTATATCTTAAGTAGTTGTACAGAGGGTTACCATTCAGCATGTCAGTTTATGAGGACAATGCGTCTCCCATTCTCTCCCTTGCCCCATTCCCCCCAACCCCTCCCCTCCGGTCCCCTCATCCCATGGGATAGGCATTGAATATTATGACTGTGTTTCCCAATTTTAAGGCAAAAAAAAATAAAATAACAGTAGACTTGGAATTTAAAAAAACCATAAGAAAACAACTCCTTAAAACTATTCCCAGAAGAGCGTAAAAGGATGGTTGTTTTTTTTTTTTTTCATTTTTTTCCCTCCCCTCTCAGAAGCCTTACAGAGTTATTTCCCTTCTGTTTTGATTTTAGGGTGGAGCTGGAGGAGAGGGGTAGTATGTTCCTAGAATATAAATGGTATTTTTTCCCAATAAAGAAAAACAAAAGGGGAGGAGCAAAAGAGATCCAAAAATACCGGGTTTGTTTTTTTTTTAAGCCACCTCTGTGGTGAGAACAAGCAAGTGTGTGTGGAATATTTGCTGAAGATCTGGACAGCGAGTGACATCCTCCAGGGAAAAGGTCCTTGAATTTGTCCTCTCTGACCTGTCCAGAGATGGCATTGCTCATTGGAGGGGGAAAAAAAAAATTGTTTCCCTGGGGAGACTTGAATGTCCACTTCCTCTGGGATTCCAGAATTCTCCATCTCAGGTTCCTTGATGTGGCTGTTTCCCTCTGCAGGGTACGTGAGGAAAAAACCACAACCCAATTGGGTGGGTGGAGGAGGGGGTAGGGCAGGCCGAAGGTAGGAAGGCCGGGAAGGCAGGAGCCACTGTCAAGTGCCGTTTCCAGAACCCGCTAGAATCTGTATTCACATCCTTCAGTAGCTTCAGCTTCACAGGAACTCCGGATGCCCCAGGAGAAGTCCCAGCGGGCACCGTTAGTTTAAAGTTGATTAAACCTCTTAGTTTATAGTTGGTTAAAAAAATATATGCTCATAAAGGAGAAGTGACTTGCCCAAGTCCACAGGAGGGGATGGCCCGGAAAGCCCTGCTGCCTCCTCCAGCTTCTTACCACGGATAGCTGCCCAGTGCTTAGTAAGGATTTCCCCAGTGACGTGGCTCTTGTCATTTCTTTGGCCCTCATGATGACAAGGATAATAACAGCTGCCTCAAAACGCTCTGAGGCTAGATTTTCCACACCCAGAGCTTCGAACGGTACCCAGCATGCAGTACGCGAGCAACAAAACAGAGCACTTACCAGTCTCCCTGCAAGCACCTCTCAGTGTTCCACTCAGCAGCTAGCTACCTGTTAACAAGACCCAAGGCCAGCCTGAACCTTGCGGGCTTACATTCTGGTTCTGGACATCCAGTAAGCCAGAGATGGTAGATTGGGCTGTGGGAGGAGCTCCCCCATGGGACGGCTGCAATATAAACACGAGGTGCTCATCGGGGCAGGTGCAGTCCTGGGGGGCTTCCTGGAGGAGCAGGAACAGCTCAGCCCAACAGATGAGCAGTTTGCCAGGTCAGGTGTGGACAGAGGGAATAACAAGCAAACAGGCCTGGAGGAGAAAGAGAGAAAGGGAGGCAAGCCGCCAGGTTTGATGGCGCAGGTGACGTCAGGTGGTTAGATTTCCATGGTAGAGCAGAAGAGGCAAACACAGCCATGTCTTCGGTCAGCGAAGGCTGATGCTCCTCCACTGGCTAGTGGATTCAGGAAGCCTCAGGAGAGCCCCGTCTCCATCTATAAAAAGGGCAGAATGGAGCCAGGTGCTGGTGGCTCACGCCTGTCATCCTAGCTACTCAGGAGGCTGAGATCTGAGGATCACAGTTCAAAGTCAGCCCAGGCAAGAAGGTCCAGGAGACTCTTATCTCCAATGAACCACCAGAAAACCGGAAGTGGCCCTGTAGCTGAAGGGGTAGAGCGCTCGCCTTGAGCTGAAGAGCGCAGGGACAGCACCCAAGCCCAGAGTTCAAGCCCCATGACCGACAAAAAGAAGCAAGGGGGGGGGGGGGCGGCGGGCAGAATGGGAAAACCTGTCCCTCAGGTCCCCTCCCATGTAAGCACTTTGTGCTTCCTGTAAGAATAGCCCAGCTTCCCGAGGAATGAGTTTCCTTCCAGGCCTGTGTTCTGCCAGGACCCCCCACCCCAGAACAAGGTCCTTCCCCTTCCGTCTTCTCTCTCAACAACCCCCCCCCACCCCGTCACTGCCAGCGCCTGTCATTTATTTTATGTGTTTATTTTTGTCCTGACCAAGCCCTCCACCTTTACTGCTTCCGGCTTCATGGAAAACCTTGACCTTGGGCCAAAGGAAGGAGAGAGAGGGAGCTGGGAAAGGAGTGGGCGGAGACTGGCTCCCCAAAGAGAAAAGTACAGAAAAGGTCAGCAAATGCTCCCCACGGGCCCGGGTCACGCTGCTATCAGCCCACGTCTGTGGGCCGAATTGAACCCAATCCAGGCAGTTGGTGTAGACAGAACTGGAGGGAACTGGACGTCTCTGGGGTCCAGTGCCAACTGGAGGTACTGGGCTGGTTTGTGTGGAGGACATCGCCATCTAGTGGTCATGACTGTCCTGAGCCCACACTCCCAAGGGCCTGATTCTTCCTGCGTGGAAAGCCCTGCTTTCTCTCCCACAGGTGATGGACAGCTCCATGCCTCTGATTGGAGAGCACGTGGAAGAGGACAAACAGCTGATGGCCGACCTTGTTGTCTCCAAAATGAGCCAACTTCTGATGCCAGGGTGCACAGTGCCCTCCCCCCTGAGACCCTGGGTGAGATTCTCTGGAACAAAGGGCATTGGCACAGCCCTGAGAAATGCCAGCTGGGCTGTCCTGACTGGGAGCCCCAGGGTCCAGCAGAATCCCCTGGAAAGCAAGCAAGCTGGGGGACAGATGCTGGGCATGGCCTCATGGGTCGATTTAGGCCTTCCCTGGCTTGTCCTCCGGACCTGGGGAAAACCCCTATAGCACTGGCCTTAGTTGTCATGCGTGTGCCTTCCAACCTAGGCCTAACCAGGGACTTGTGCATGGGTTACACGCACGTGTGAGAACACACATACACGCAGGCTCATTGTGTGTACCCAGGCACCAGTCAACACAGACAGTTGTGTCTCCCACTTCTTCATCTCCAACCTGACACACTTCCACAGATGCAAGCATGCGTGTGCATACACTCACACGTGTGCACACACACACACACACACACACACACACACACACACTGCCCCAATCACCAGGTCACAAGTTCCCAGCTTCCTGGGAAAGCAAGTCTCAAAACTTGCCCCTATCCTCGCCCATCTTCCTCACAGAAGTTTGTCTCTGTTAATAGACATCAGAATAATGGTTCCGTTTGAGGGGATTGCTGCAAGGGAGGGCGGCAGGGCAGCCACAGCGATGATTATCTTGGCCTCTGTGTCGCTAAGCTACGACCCCACTAAACTGGTGTGAAAAGCCACCATGCACACTTAAGAACCGTGGACCATCTGTGAGTTTCATGTCTGCGGTGTAAAGGTCTTTACAAAACCTGTTTTCCAAGCTGGGCCCTGGTGGCTCATGCCCGTAATCCTAGCAACTCAGGAGGCTGAGATCTGAGGCTCCCGGTTCAAAGCCAGCCCGGGCAGGACACTCTTATCTCCAATTAACCACCAGAAAGCCAGAAGTGGAGCTGTGGCTCAACATAGAAGAGGGCTAGCCTTGAGCGCTAAAGTTCAGGGATAGCATCCTGAGTTCAAGCCCTATGACCAACCAAAAAGAAAAGAAAAATCTCCAGCTTCCACCCTCTCTCTCTCTCTCCTGTTCCAGGCTCCGCAGATGAAACCTGCGAAATCCCCTGGGCAAAGCCAGCTGGGGCCTCAGCTGGGGCAGCCCCAGCCACGCCCCCCTCCACAAGGTAAGAGCCAGGCCAGCCCTGGAGGAAGCCTTTAGGATTGAGGTGCGTGGAAGGGCCGACGTGTGACTTCTAGGACTGAAAGGCCCTGACAAGCCCGCATCTGATCTCTGGAAGGACTGAGGTACACTGAGGAGCCACATGTGCTAGGCGCTTTGCTGGCGGCACCCTCACCTACAATCCATCTTCTCATCTGTAGTGCTCCACCCTGGCATGCCCCTCTTCCTGGAAGTTGGGGTATTGCCCAGGGAGACACAAGAAGATGGCAGATTTACAAGTCTGGCTTTTCAGACCTTCTAGAACAGGTTTATTTCTGGCCTCTACTGGTGCCTGGTTATAGATTTGTGAGTGTGTGTGTGTGCAAGCATGTGCACGCATGTGCAAGGCGGGGGGGAGAAGCAGTAGTAGTGGTGTGGTGGTGATGTTTCAGTCAGACCCTGGCCTTTCTAGCTATGCTTACTAAAGCAACAGGTGCATTGCTTCTTGGAGAAAATGGGTCTTGGAGACCAGATGACTTCCTCTCCTACAGGTCTAGGTAAAACTCCCCTCTCTCTTTCCCTTCTCCTTCCTTCTCCCTGCCTTCCTGCCTTCTTTCTTTCCATTCCTCCTTCCTTCTTTCCTTTCCCCATTATAGATTTTGTTACCCGGTAATATATAGGTATTATATATGTGTGTTAACTATTAAATATATTGTTTTATATTGGTATACTTTTTCACATGAACTTGAGGTTATTGTTTTCTTCCAATATGCTCCAAATTATATTCAGGAATATCAAAATTACATTCAGTCCTGGACTAAAAAAAAAAAAAAAATGATTGCATTTGTCAAAATCCTGGCCTAGATGACCTCTCACCTCTGTAGACAAATAGTCTTCTCAGAATGTAATAACTTGTTCACAATTGCATTCATTCCAGAGGCCGCTGCCCCGCCCTTGTTGCAAAGTCTTGCTCATGTCTATTTCTTCATCCTACATTTCTTCTCTTACTCTCCTTACTGACAAATCCCCCTCGCTTAGCTCTTCTGATCCATTTGCAGTGAAACAATAATGCTTCACGAACACTGCCTGCCATTACCATTCACCAGGCTTTCCCCAATGCCTCTCTTGTGTAGGTTCTTCTTCCTGGAAGAACAGGAAGTATTTCAGGAAAAGGAAGCTTGTGTAATTGTATCGAGTATGCGCTGGGCTTTCCATGGCAGTCAAGACATTCCTAACATATTCAGCTTAAAAGAGGAAAGTTTCATTGTGGCTCATGGCTTCCTTAGTGGACAGCCACTCGACCCCATTGCTTTGGGCCTGTGGTAGCAACACATTCATGGTGGGAACATGAGATGGATGAAAACTGTTTACCCTGTGCAGAGACTGACAGAACAGAAGGGAGGGGGAGGGAGGGGAGAAAGGGAGGACGCAGGGGAGAGAGAGCAGGGGAGAGAACAGAAGAGAGAGATTGGAGACAGGAGTATGTAAGCAAATGTGAATGAGAATGTGTGTGAAGAGAGCAAGAAGGCAATCAGCAAGAGCTATGACACAGGGACAGTGCTGAGAAGGCATAAGTGCTTACACATTGTTCATTATTTGGTAAATTACTAGTATAACTTACTAACAATTCTAATAGATGTTCTAGTAGTCCTGTTATGGGGCTTGTTCATGCCTGTTATTAATGATCTTTGTAACCAGCAGCTTCTTCCCCTCCTGCCTGGCAGTTATCCTACAGTTATAAATGGCCCCAAACGACTTTATTCATCCCCCTACCCGGCTCCTGGCTTGTCTGGGCCGCCCTGCCCCCTCTCCGCTCGCTCTCTGCCCAGGACTGACTTTAAAAACACTTCAGAGCAGAGGCCCTTTAAAACAGAGCGCCACTGTATTCGGGTTTCCTCTCTGGCACACAGTAAAACCGTGCTTGATAAAGAGATATTATTTTAAGCAACATGTGGCTACACACACGCTGAGTGAGCTGAAAAATAATCAACTTAAAACCAGTTAAGGTAATTAATGAGGTGGATTAACATTCAGATTAAAAATAACAAGACTCATGAACAAAATGAAAACATTATCAGCCATTTCTCCAAACAAACAAGGGTATAGTGTTGCTTTGTTTTAAACTCACTGTTGGTTTTCTTTTTCTTTTTTTCTTATTTCTTTGTGCCCATCCTGAGGTGAGAATTCAGGGCCTTGGCGCTGTCCCTGAGCTTTTTTGCTCCAGGCTAGTGCTCTGCCACTAGAGCCATAGCCCTATTTCTGGCTTTTTTTTGGGGGGTGAGGGTAATTTATTGGTGATAAAAGTCTGACAGACTTTCCTGCCCAGGATGGCTTTGAACCACAATCCTCAGAGCTCAGCCTCCTAAGTAGCCAAGATGACAGATATGAGAACTCAGCTCACTGTTCATTTTCAAACTCAGTGAAAGTCAAGTTCTCTTTCAATAAACTTCAGCCTTTTTTTAGCATACATCTTGTGCTTAGGCAAATATATTCTAAATATGTTACGGTGGTTTTTAAAAAAAATTGTGCTCAAATAAAGAAATATCGAATTGTTTTCTTTTTTAAGAGGTTGTAAGAAATTACTACAATGACTCTGAATGGATCACAAGAGGAAAATATGGACTCAAGAAATAGTTAATGAATTATTGAATGAGAACTTGGGTTTTCTTAAATATTGTGAACCCATGGACCAGGGTGAGGGGCTTAGGATAAAACTAGATGTTTCCTTTTACCTGTAGTGGGTTTAGAAAACAAAAATGGAGCCAGGCACCGGTGGCTCACACCTGTCATCCTAGCTACTCAGGAGGCTGAGATCTGAGGATCATGGTTCAAAGCCAGCCCAGGCAGGAAAATTCGTGAGACTCTTATCTCCAGTAAAGCACCAGAAAACCAGAAGTGGTGCTGTGGCTTAAGTAGCAGAGCACTAGCCTTGAGCTGAAGAGCTGAGGGACAGCGCCCAGGCTCAGAGTTCAAGCCCCACAACCAACAAGAAAGAAAAAGGAAACAAAAATGTAACCAGAATTTAAAAAGTCAGGACCATTTTTAAATCGGGAACTTGGCCTGATGCTCAAGCCTGTAGTCCAGGGTGTGCTGTGTGTGGGAGCTGAGATCAGGAAGGCTGTAGTTTGAGGCCAGCCCAGGCCTCTTTTAAAGTGATGGAAGGGCCCTGCGGTGCACACCTGTCATTCTAGTTATGAGGGCAGCTAAGAGAGAGAGAGAGAATCATGGCTCCAGGCCTGCTCAGGCAAAAAACAAACAGCAAACAAACAAAAACTTTGAAACTCCCTCTCAACAGAAGAAGCTGGGAGTATGTGATGGTATGGGCCCGTCAGCCCAGCTATGATGGAAAGAACAAAATAGGCAGATCACAGTCCAGGCACAGGCCAAAGCACAAAGTGAGACCTGACTCACAAGGAACTCTTTGGTTGGAGGTATGACTCAGTGATAGAGTGCCTATAGAGCAGTTTGGCTTGGGGGGATGGGCGAGGAGGGTGGGGAGACAAAACAAACTCTTGCTCAAATATCTAAATTTTATTTTAAGCCTGCCACCTCTTCCTCTTGGTCAATTTCCCCAGAAGTAAGGGACAATTGTCTTTACTAGCTTCCAAAGGTTGTGCGCAAAAAAGAATCCACCAATTTAACAATTATGAGCCTCATCGCTCAAAGCCTTAGTATCTCCCAGGAACTGACAGGAAATGCAGAATCATAGATCCTGACTACCTTGATAATGAAGTACCACAGACCTAGGGCCTTAAAGCCACACAGGTTTCTCTTCATGTGGTTCTAGAGGTGGAGAATATGACGTCAGGGTACATCGGGGTGGGGTTCTGGATGGCTTCTTCCCTTTAGCTTGCAGCCTCCTTTCCCTCCATGTATAGACACACACACACACACACACACACACACACACACACACACACACACACTGCCTCTTTGGATCAGGACTGCAGCCTTTTGGATCAGAGCCTCACCTTTATCCCCTCCAACCTCAGTCATTTCACTTAAAGACTGGGTGCCAGTGGCTCACACCTATAATCCTAGCTACCCAGGAGGCTGAGATCTGAGGATCGCAGTTCAAAGCCAGCCCAGGCAGGAAAGTCCATGAGACTCTTATCTCCGATTAACCACTAGAAAACTGGAAGTGGCGCTGTGGCTCAAGTTGTAGAGTGCTAGCCTTCAGCAAAAAGCTCAGCAGAGACATTTCCCAGGTCCTAAGTTCAAACTCCATGACCAACAACAAAACAAAAAGACCCTCTCTCAAATACAGTTGCTTTGAGGGTTAGGGCTTCCATGTATGAATCTGGGTGAAGGTGGAAACAATTCAGTCCTTCACACCACCCCAGACCTCTTGTACCACACCTCCCACAGTGATTCCTGTTCATGCCAGTGTGTGAAGCCCTTCTCTCTAGGCTCCAGCCTTCTGGTCTTTTTTGTAGCCATCGATACATCTGTGCCCAAATGGAATAAACCCGTGTCCAGTCTCCTCCTAACCTGCTTTTCTGGAGATATAGAGTGAACACAGATCATCAACATCAACAGCATCTGGTGCCCTTAATGTCATTCTTCCATCTCTAGGCAGTGACCAGAGCATGACCCATCATCATCGTGTGTTTTAATATTTCCAATCACTTCCCTGCAATGGGCACTTACGCTATTTCACACTACAGTGAGCATCTGTGAAGCCACGGTTATTTGTCCCCAGCCGTCTTTATCCTAAGAACAAAGTTGAATGTATCTTTTTTTCTCTTTTGGCTTCTAGGGGGCCCTCGTCAAGCTCAGTCTCCTCAGCCACCCAGATCTAGAAGCCCCTCCCAGCAAAGGCTCTCCCCGCAGGGCCAGCAGCCTGTGAGCCCCCAGTCTGGATCTCCTCAGCAGCAAAGGTCCCCTGGCTCTCCACAGTTATCTCGGGCCTCGGGTGGTAGCTCTCCAAACCAGGCCTCCAAGCCAGGCACCAACCTCGGCTCACAACCCCGGCCCCATGTGCAAGGCCGCAGCACCTCCCAGCAGGGTGAGGAGCCCCAGAAACCAGCACCACCACATCCCCATCTCAAGTAAGTGTTTGGGAATTAGGGGATTGGGAATGAGCAGGGCTGGGCTGATCTGAGACAAAGGAAGACCCAGTAGGCCAGGGCCAGAAACAGGTCTTGAAGATAGCTTATGTGTGGCAGGGCCCAGGAAGGTGAGTGTCCAGATTACTTCCCACCATGGCTTTCTATTGATGCATGCATCCGTTAGTACTTGCTGTATAACAAAGCACCCCCAAAACTTAGTGGCTTAAAGAAAAATGCAGCTACTTTCTTGGTTCACAATGTTTTGATTTGGCAATTGAGTGCAGTTCATCTAGAAGGTTCTGTAGAGCCAGAACAGGTTCTATTCAGTGTGTTTGCAGAGATGCTAGAGTAAACATGATGCACCCAGCTAGATTTGAATTTCAGACAATTTTGAGTAGCATATTACACACTTTAAAAAGTGGTTCTATTTTTTTTCTTTCTGAAACTTAAATTCCATTGGGTCCACTTCAACTAATCCACTGTAAGTAGAAATTTGTTCCACAGTTGATAATCATGAACATCTCCCTTCATAGTTTCAGTACTCACTGCAGAGAAAATACCTGATGGATCAAGGGGTACATGCATTTTTAACTTGATAGGCTGGTCTTGTGGCATATGGATTCACAGCACACTCTAGAGGTGGCATGCCTGGGTTTGAGTCTCCACTCTACCATTTCACAGCTGTGTGGTGTGGCCTGAGACTGGTTGCTTAGCCCTTTTTTACCTCAGTGTTCTCATGTGGAGTGGGGACAGCAAACCCATTGGGGCTATTCTGAGAGTAACATGAGTTTGCACATAGCCAGTGTGCTCTGAAGACTGACACCACGCAAGTATACATGTACCCTCTGTCCCCGTGTGCAAAGGCTAGCCTAGACAATCTCACCATGGACTTCAGCCAGGTTTGGACACTGACCTTAGTAATCTAGCTAACATGCAAATCTCAGAGTTTCAAAATGCCTTCAGTTTTATTTCACTGCATGGGGATGGAACCCAGGGTCTTGTGCATGTAACAAAACACCACAGAGCTACACTCAGCCATAGAGCATAACTTTACATAGTTTGAGTCAGCAGATAATTTATCAAATACCCATGTGATAGTCTGTCCTGGGGAAGACTCCATTAAGAGAAATAAGCAAGACATAAGAGAAAATCTTTGCATTTGAAAAGGATTTGTGCATAGGGCTCTTCATTTTTTGCTAGTATCATTCAAGTGTACAAGGAGCTTCATTCTGATGTATCCATCAACGCGTCCAACATACCTGGATCAGATTCTACCCCTGCGTCACCCATCCCCACTCACTTCCTCCTTCTATTTCCAAATCAGTCTTAACAGTCTCCACTGTTCACACCTGAACACGAAGTATTTGACCGTATTTACCACCACCATCCTACATTTACCCTCTCCCTTTGCCCTTCCCCTCCTCCACCACAGATCTTTTTTTTTTTGGTGGGGTGGGGGGGTTGGTCCTGGGGCTTGAACTCAGGGCCTAGGCAATGTCTCTGAGATTCTTTTTTTTTTGTACTCTTAAGGTCTCAGACTTACTGCCTGAGCAAATTAAGAGAATAAATTACTCTTTCTCTGTCTCTGTCTCTCTCTCTCTCTCCCCAGTTATCTATCCATCTTTCTATGTCTTTTTCATTTATCTATCTCTATGTGTATATAATAGAGGTTTATGTACATGCATATGAATATATGTTCATATAATGGCATTCTCGTAAAATGCATATAATCTATAGAAAGATGAATGCATGCACACCTAGTGATAAATATATGTTAGTATGATTGCATGATTTTTACAGTTTCTACTAGGTCATTTTCTTTGGAGACTTTACACTGAAACAGCTAATTCAACATACAAGGGAAATGAGAGGAACTTGCAAATCAGTTTAGTCTCCAAATTTTTGCATGTTTGACGTATTTTTTTATTTATGCACAGCATATTGTGACAGGTAATTTTCCAATGTGTCACAATAATGCAATGACGACAACAACGAAGGCAATAATATTTCTTCTTGTAAGATGCCTATTGAAACTTTCATATTTGTTCTAAGTATTCTTTATTTTAATCTTCACTACTGCTGTGATTTAAGTATTTCATTACCCCCACTTTATGAGTGAGCAAACTGAGGCTTTTAGAATTTAAGTTATTTTCCAAACTTATACAACCAAGTTTAGGTTTCTGGACACAAAGTCCCCACTGATCTTCTTAACATGTGGATCAGCCTCTGTCTGTCCTCTCCCCTGGATGGTGAGGGCCTGACTCTCAGCCCTTTCCACACCTGGCACCTGGCACTAGGCCTGGCACAGAGGAAACAGCAAGGAGGGGCTGCTTCCTGGCTCTGGCAAAGCAGAGAAAATAGCACACTGCTGTTCACACAGCTGGCACCATGGCAGTTCCAAAATTAAGAAAAAGCATCAGTTAAAAAGGGGGGAGGGCTTCAAGAAAGGCCAGGATTGAAAGCCTGCATGTCCAAGCAAGAAGAGGCCCTGGAATTACAGATGAGGCGAAAGACAGAAGTGCCTGGCTTAAGACCCTAGAGGTCCAGGGACAAAGATCTCCTAATTCCCTCATGAGTGCTGAAAGCTATAGTGGGAGAAACTGTAACTTGTGTGTATCTAGCACACGGTAGTTGTCGCCACAGGTTTGTACACACAAGCAGGAGGAAGATCAGGCTGCCTCAGCTGCTGGGATGGCAGGAAGAATAGGAGCTGGACTTGTTCACCCACTTTAAGGCTCCATGTCTGCCCTTGGAAAATGAAAATACCAAGTCTGGGCAGTGTGTCGCATGCTGTAATCCCAGCCACTGAGGAGGAGAAAATAGGAGAATCACAATCCAAGGCCCACCCAGGCAAAAGAGCAAGACCCTATCTGAAAGATAACTAAGGCAAAAAAGGTTAGAGGTGTGGTTCAAATGATAGAGCCCCTTCCTAGAAAGCACAAGACTCCCAACCCCAAAAAGACCAGGGTAACAAACACCTGTGCTGATGCACTCGGAGTTCCTGACACCCATTGCGTAAGCACTACAACCTGCATTCTGGTCTCACTGTTGTTCTGATCAATGGCCGGGCTCAGCTGCCTGGCCCTGGACTCGTTTCCTGGAAGCCTCAGCCTCCTGTCTTTCTATTGCAGCAAATCCCAGTCATTGACCAACAGCCTGGGCACATCAGATGCCACCCAGCGTGGGGCTCCGAGTGAAGACGAGGCCAAGGCCGAGACCATTCGCAACCTGAGGAAGTCCTTCGCCAGCCTGTTCTCTGACTAGCCCTGCTCAGGCCGGTGAAGGCAGGAGAGCAGGAGACTCTCCCCCCACTCCTGCCTCCTCTTTGGCCTTGGCTCCTGGCAGGAACAGATGGAGGGCCAGGGAACATACATCCTAAACACCCTGGACCCACGATGCGATCATCCATGTGTGCCCATTCTCCATTACTGTGGCATTGAGATGCTATCTGCCTTCACCAGTGAGCCCCAGAGAACATCTAGGCCCCTCAACACAGGCCTTCCAGAGAAAACTGGCAACACCCCGCCTACCCACCATGCCTGCTCCCCATCCCGATGCCAAGTGACATGTCCTCACGTCTGCTGTTCACATTTTTGTTTTTGCTTGCCTTTGAGCCTTCTCTTCGGGGCCTTCCTTTTGGGGCCTCCTTTCCTTCAACCCCCCCCCCCCCTCCACCAAATGCAGATGCTGTCATTGGACCTCAGCAACCTAGGAGGCGAATATTTTTTGAAGTGTTTTTCCACAACCAAGAGAAAAGTGCATCCTGGGAATCTACCCTCCCACCCACCCCCACTCCCCCCACCGAGACTCGCCCTTGGACAGAGCAAGCAGGAGCCTCATCCCACTGGCCCCATGGGATCTTGGAGTCAAGAAGAAGAAGCCAGTTCTGGTGACAAGTAGGCTCTTTCCTGTGGTCTGCATACTACAGGACTTATGTCAAAGGCTTTCCAAATTTCTCCTGGCAAGACATTGCTCTAACTTTGTTTTACCCTCATTTCTTTGACTAAGCAAGGTAACTGCAGAGCTGAGAAGAAAAAAAAAAGTCATCCTGATTCCCTGCCTGGTGTTCTTACCCCTCCACCAGCTGCCTCTTGGGGGTCAGTGAAGTCCAGGGGTGCCCCCACATCATGAAGCACCTGGTGCTAGAAACATTGTCGGTGCCAGAAGCAGCCTCATGGTCCTGAGAAGAGCCTAGAATGTTAGAAGCAAGCTGGCCATATTCTCCTCCTACCCAAAGCCATTTGGCAACCTGATGTGTCTGAGGCACGGGAGGGAGAGGAAAACTGGAAGCTGCTTCCAGTTACGCCCAGGTGCCGTTACCGGCTGGTGGATTCAGGTTCGCAAGCATATAGAAGCCATCAGTGTCCTTTTGGCTCTCCCAATCCAGATTAGAGACCTTAGCAAAATCCACTTTCCATAAGGCTTTCCAACTGGCTATTAGCTAGGTCCTGGCTCAATAGCAGAAGTGCTAGCTTTGCATTTGGCTGTCGAAGACCCACTTGGGTGTGAGAGTCATTCTCTTCTTCCTTGCCTTCCTCCTGCCTTCATGATCAAGTCCATTAGAGCAAGAGACCCAGAGTTTAGAAGTCCTCTTTCTCCTCTTGTGTAGGACCCCTGGTTTGGGCTCAGTAATAAACAGCAGCTCTGGCATAAGGAAGATCAGATAGGTCCACCGACTAGGGAACACTAGAAGCCATAACTAGACAACTGGGTACTGGCCAACTCGGGCCTGTTGACACCAGCTAGAATAGCAACAATGCAATGGCCGTGGTGTGGGAGGAAGGGGAGCTGGTGAGGACCTGCCTGGTACTCACCTGCTTTGTTCTGCGTCCATGTAATGTTGAGGCCAGTGTCTTTAGACACTGGAATATCTAGCCCCACTCTGCCCGTATCTCCCTCTTTTTTCCATTGTAGGGTTCCATAAATGACTGTGAGGCCTAAGTTCCCTCACTTCCTTGTCCCTGGAAACAACTAAGTATTCAAATCTCTCCATAACTACTGGTAGCACAGACTCTTGACAAACTCCAGCAAGGCCTGACATTCTGGTTTTATAGCCACGTACAGGTACATCCACATCCATCACAGAATGCTAGCTTTCAGCAAGCACCTTTAAATGATTTCCCATGGGTCCATACATGAGGCCAAGAATGTATCGGTGCAGGGAGACTGGGTGTCCCCCACATGGACTGTTTGCTCCCATAAACTAGCACATTCCTTCCAAAAATATAACCGTTAATGCCTGTGACATTTGGAGATGGGAAAGGGGAGCGGAGACATTGTGTATAGATTGTAAAGGTTATATTTGTTGTTTTGGCTTTGTTTTACAACACTGGCCCCCAAGAAAGGCTCAGATTTTCCCTCCAAGCTGACCTAGTGAAGCCGAGATACAAACAAAGCCTCATTCAATCTGCAACACAATGAGTAGGGCCTTGAAAACTCCAGCCTGCGAGGAATGCTATGCCAGCCAGAGAAAGCTGCCTCCAGAGATAAATGATGCTGTCCTCCTCTTAAAAGTGAAATTCAGGGCCCTGGCAGATACTCATCCTTTCTCACCCCTTGGTTCCCTTTCTAAGTACACCCTGCCCATGCCTCAGACCCTACTGAGAGGGCAGTTCATTCCTTCCCCCCGCCCCTCCAAGGGTCAGCAAGGCCACTGGGATAACAGCCAATACCAGAATGCTTAGGCAGGAGGACCGTGAGTTCAAAGCCAGCCAATTAGCCAAGTAGAACCCTGTCTCGAAGAAAAACAAAAATAGTTTGAAGAGTGGTTTTCACCCACACAGCAACGCTGCAGCAGCAAACTCATGTTCTGAGCCTCCACTGCCTCCCAGAAGTTCTGGTCTGAGTTTCCCCCAGGAGGTAGGGAAAGGAAGCGAGCTGGGGTGGTGTCTAAGCATAAGCCCCAAGACTAAAAGTGCAGAATGCACACTGCTTGGCGCAAGCAAGGTGTTTGTGGCACGTGTTAAGCTGGCCTTCCTAGACCTGGGAAATTAATAAAAACATCAGGTATTCAGGTGGAAGCAAAAGGCCTATCATTCTAAGGAAGTCACTGGCCTAGAAACAGAACCAAACCAAGATGAGACAATAGAGAAAAGACTCAGGAAGTGGCGCTGTGGCTCAAGTGGTAGAGCACTCGCCTTGAGCTAAAGAGCTCAGGGACGGCGCCCAGGCCCAGAGTTCAAGCCCCATAACAGACAAAAACAAAAAACAAAAAACTATTGGGTAGAGAAAAGACATGGCATGTTTTTTCACCTCAAAAAGACCTGATTGAACTGGAAGAGGGGAAGGGGCAAGCACAGTGTGTGCCCAGGAGACTGGGCCCGTGGTAGCAGGGGACCACAGGCTGCCACAGCCAGGGGCCAGGGAGAATTGTCATGGTCAGGGTGGCCAGAGAAAGCGCAGAGAACAGTCTGGGACCAGGGGAACGGAGCTTGTCCAGGACAGGAAGCAGCCTTCTACTTGCGCTCTGTACCAAACAGCAGAGCCTTGAAAACAACCTTGGCTCGGCCGCTGTGGCGGCGCACGCAGTGTGAGCCGGGCCAGTGGCGGCAGCAGGCAGGGCTCTTGTGCGCCTTTCAACTTCCTCAGCAGCGTGGTGGCATGTCGTTTTGTGTTTGGAATGGGTGAAAGGATGCGGTTCGTCACGGGCTAGCTGGTGGAGGCAGCCTGGCAGAACCCATGGTCACTTTTGTCATGGAGGATTCGCCCTATTCAAGGCCTGAGTCTTCGCATCTATCCCTGTTTATCTTAAAGCCAAGATGGCTGGTTGTAGCCCCACTAGCAAGTGTCAATAGCTGTCCCAGGACCCTGAGTGGCACCCAGATTAAATTAAGGATCCAAGAGTAGTATTTATAGACTCCAATAGGAGGTGGCTCTTTTGGCTTGCAGTCAAATTAGAAGGTTAGATCACAAACAAGCCAAATCGGTCCATTTATCCAGCACGGGGCAGGAAGGACACAGAAGCTCCCTTGTTTCCACAGACAGCACACACAGTCCAAAGAGATGAGATGTGGACATTTGGGCCTTGTATTCTCCCTTCAATGGAGACTCCAAGAGGAAAGACTAGAATAGCTGGGGAAGGTTTCAAATCTGTGAGCCATTCTTTGAAGGAAACTAAATCTAAAACTAAGCATAATCCTTACAGTTCTAAGTAGTTTTCATTTTTATTCCCTATCAGTCCTCCAAATTTTAATATCCCCTTCTAAACACTATGTCAAGTGTCTGTCCTTCATAGTCTTTTTTTTTTTGGGGTCCGGTCGTGGGGCCTGAACTCTGGGCCTGGGCGCTGTCCCTCAGCTCTTCAGCTCAAGGCTAGCACTCTACCACTTAAGCCACAGCACCACTTCCGGCTTTTTTCTTTTTGCTTATGTGATGCTGAGGAATCAAACCCAGGGCCTCGAGCATGCAAGGCGAGCGCTCTACCACTGAGCCACCTTCCCAGCCCTGTCCTTCATAGTCTTAGAGTGAGTCTACAGCAGAAGCAAGGTGGCTCTTCCTTGCCCACTCTAACACTGAGCCTGTTTTGCTATAGAACCCTGCAAGCAAGTGCTACAGTCTCTTGGGAAGTCCTGGGAGATACTGCAGTTTAAATCCATCCTAATGTGACTGATCTAGTACATTGCCTAGTATATAACCTTGCCAAGACCAAGTCTCAGCAGTTGGAAAGCAACAAGGGTCAGGTCACAACTCAACAGTTTGAACACAGGGAATTACAGTGACCTAAGCTAGAAAGAGAGGGCACTTAGCATGACTTCAGTATCATCACGCCAAACAGAGACTTGTCATTTATAAATAAGGGGTGGGAGAGGGAAACAAGTCCATGAATGAAAGTAGTTAAGAGGAAATGAAGGGCCACAGGAAGAACTCAAGGATCCAAGTTAGCAACACCAAACTGGCACCCTGGGCTCTCAGCTCCATTCCAGTACCCAGAAGGGCCATCACACATTGTACAGCGAGAGTTTTCATTCACTACCCAGCAACAATACATAGAACACCAAACTGGTCTGATGGCAAAAATGGAGGATTTTACAAGCTTACAACTATAAATTTTGCTAAGCAAAAATGGAGGATTTTACAAGCTTAGAACTATAAATTTTGCTAGTAAAGAGGAAATGCTTGGAGGGTGGTTTTAAGAATTTGTAATAGTTGGGCTGGGAAGGCGGCTCAGTGGTAGAGCACTTGCCTTTCATGCATGAGGCCCTGGGTTCGATTCCTCAGCACCACATAAGCAAAAAGAAAAAAGCCGGAAGTAGAGCTATGGCTCAAGTGGTAGAGCGCTAGCGTTGAGCTGAAGAGCTGAGGGACAGCCCCCAGGCCCAGAGTTAAGGCCCACGACCAGACCCTCCCCGCAAAAAAACAAAAAAACTTGTAATACTATTTTGAGAGGTGCCCAAATTTAGGTTTAGGGCACATTGCCAATATCCTAAATGAAGAGGGATTTGTAACATCCACCAGTAAGTCTTCGGTGAGGCTGGAAAGCAACCCTGTATCATTGACACCAGCATTATCAGGGATATATGGAGGACCCTCTTGAGAAATGAGTATGTTCTGAAAATCAACTGTTTTGTGGGACCTGGTGCTTCTGGTCATCTCTACAACCACACACACACACACACACACACACACACACACACACACACACACACACACACACACACACACACACACACACACACACACACACACACACACACACACACACACACACACACACACACGATTATACAGTGCAACTTACAAGACCACAAAGAGATGTGTTGGAAAAGCTAAATATATTTGGATCCATCAAATCTTCAGGGTGACCCTTTTAGCCAAACTCAAACAAAGCCATCTAGAATCTGGTGGATGTTTGAAAAAGCTATCCTGTAGCTCAGATATTATACAATACCACACAAAAGAAGATCCACAGCACCAATCCTCTACCTAACTATAAAGGTGACATGGAGCCTGTAATCCTAGCTACTCAGGAGGCTGAGATCGGAGGATCGCGGTTCAAAGCCAGCCCAGGCAGGAAAGTCCGTGAGACTCTTATCTCTGATAAACCACCAGAAAAACCGGAAGTGGCACTGTAGCTCAAGTGGTAGAGCACTCATCTTGAGCTGAAGAGCTGAGGGACAGCGCTCAGGCCCAGAGTTCAAGCCCCATGACCCATCAAAAAAAAAAAGGTGACGTGGCTTCGAGGATATCCTACCAACTGAATCTCTTCACTGTGATGGAAACAATTCACATGTGTAGCAAAAACATTAAATTCACATGTAAATAGGACTCAAAATATTCTTGCAGGACATAACATTCCAAGCCATTTCCTTATATGCAAAACAGATTTTTTTTTTTAAAAAAAGTGGGAAGACATTGGCAATCTTCCTAAGTATTTTCTGCAGATGCAAATACTGTTTTATTCCTGTGTTGTGATTTGGATTTTAAGTTTCTGTCACAATAGCATGTTTCAATAGTTATTTGTGTAGGTCATTTGTGTTTGGCCTTTTAGTTGTAGAAAATAAAAAATGTTGAATTTGGAGTATTTTAAGTCTTGGTAAACTGTTCTTCCAATAAAAAGAAGGCTCTTTGCACCCACAAGAGCTGCCGAGGAAGGGGAAGGGCACATCCAAGCCAGGCTCAACCCAACTACCTCTGCTTTTATTGATTTTACTTTAAAAAAAAACAAAACTGAGACACTCCCAATGATAAACAGATAATCTGATCATTTTTACACGTCCAGGTAACACTGTGAGAGGTTTCTGAATATTATGTATCTTTCTGGAATAAAAGTCAAGATTGTCATGTAGTTTACATTTTTTTTTTAATCTGACAGCAGACATTATCTACCAGCACAGCAAGCTCCACCCTAGAGGGGAATTCAGAAGAGGGCAATCAGTAGCAAACAATTCCCAAAGCCAAGCCTGCTGTAGTAACCTCCAAAGGGGGGGGGGGGGGGGGGGGCCCTGCAGGTGCAAATGCAGCTAGGGGGCGGTTCTGGGAGTGCAGTCTCACCACCATAGTCAGAAAGTAACCCTAGAGAGCAGCACCCCCAGGAGATGGCAGCTTTATGGTAGTTTCAAAACCAAAAGATCTAGCTCCAGAATGATTACTCCTCAATCACATGAATGGGAGCCGGCTGTCCATGGAGCGACCCCTGCTGGCCCTGGAAGGAAATCTGTCAGTGGGGCCCCCGCGCCCTGGCAGGATGGGATTAGGTCCAGGAAGTGGGCCCACTGGATCAAAGCGTGGTCTGAGTGGAGGGAACTGGCCGGGCGTCTGCCCAGGCCCTGGAATGAGGGAGTTTATTGGATTCCCACCAAAGGGAAGTGTGGGTCTTTCATCGTATTCACCACCAATAATTCCTGGAGGAAGGAGTGAGCTGGGGTGAAAGGGCATGGGATGCAAGGGGCTGGGATAGAAGGGGATGGGGTGGGACGGGGTCGTCAGGAACATATGCCGCCCGCGCTGCGCTTCTTTTCTCTGTTTGTGCCTCTTTCTGTAGAGCTGTGGAAGAAAGTGAGAAACAGTGATTTATTTGGAGGCTTCCTCAGAGCTCATTGGCTTTTGCTGCTTAGATCTAGCTACACTTTTCTTTTCCCACACTACCCAGGCAGAGAATGCAGCACACAGAAGTTGCTAGCTTCCATCTGAGTGAACAGGGCGGCCGCTCCTCATGCACTACCAAGTGAGCATGAGCCCTATTCTTGAAGCACACCATAAATGAACAACTGTGAATCTTGAGAACAGGAAATCCAAGGCAGGGATATCTGCCTGACATGTATTTTTAAGGTATGTTGCCTAAAGCCATGGTTTAAAGGCAACTTTTTTTTTGGTTGTAGGACTTGGGCACTGTCCCTGAGCTCTTCAGCTCGAAGCGAGTGCTCTACCACTTGCGCCACAGTGCCAGCTCATATGTAATTTTAGGTGAGCCTTTAAGTAGAAAATTTATATATATAATTGCTTAAAAATGTCTCACTACAAATGAAGTTCAGGTATCAGAAGGGTGAGAGACAGCACCTTAAATTCATTTTCTCAGTAAGCTCCCTAACTTAAAATGAGTCTCAATTCAAAAAAGTAGGTGCCTATTTTAGAGTACAGGACATTGCCTAGTGAATGGTACTGTGTGTTTGTGCTACATGGATTTCCATAGAACTTTATTCTTCTCCAGTCCATCATCCCAGGTGTTTGTCTCAGTCGTATCAGTATCTTTTGCAGTAGCCATCTGTAGATAGATACATTTATTCTTTTCACAATGTACTATTCTAACTAGCTGACAGCTTAAGACTGTCCCAGTACAAACATAACAAATGTGTTTTTTGGCAAAAAAGGAGAAAGAACATTCTATGTTAAGGTGAAAAGCAATCCTCGTAAAGATTTTTCTGTGTAATTACAGGCAGCACAAAGTCTAAAGGAAAACTCGAAAATATTTCCACCTATTGAAATTGAGCAATCGACTTAATGAAAATAAATTTCATAGTAAAAGTGAATGCATCAATTATAATAAAAATGAAAATATAAGTCCTTAACTATAATCCACTAGTTATTTCTAGATCATGAACATTAGCATTCACATCTAAAAATACCTACTTCCTTCCAGTCTGTGTCTCCAGCTCTGTTGGCGCTCTCTGCAAAGACCAAACAAAAAAGCAAGGCAGTAAGAACACTCCTCACACACCATTCCACGGGGTTTAGTCGGATCCTAAAGAAAAAGCACTGTGCCCATTAAACACAAAAAGAAATGTGAAGCATTTGCCTTATTGAGCACCACTATTTTCTTGAGTTGAGCTCAACCCTTGACCGATACTCCAGTGTGGTCATTGTGCCTGCCCGTGACTGAGCAGTGGGCCTGGGAGAAGGGGAGCGCGTTCTCCCCCCACGGCTCCCATGTCCAGCACTGCCTCTTCCTCCCCAGGCTCAGCTAGGTGGGCAGCTGTTTGAACCCCACATCTCATGTTCCCCCACCTCTGACTATCTACACCATACTCCACATTTGTATTTGGGTGAATTTCCTCCCAACCATGTCCTAAGTGGTTCAATTATCAGAAGTATGACCATGACTACATATTCTTAAGCCATGTAATTGAAATATATGAAATGAGGAAGAAGAAAACTGACTTTACATCTGATGAAGTGTTCAGACAAAAGCTGGTGATGGCTGGGCGCCGGTGGCTCACGCCTGAATTCCTAGCTACTCAGGAGGCTGAGATCTGAGGTTCACGGTTCAAAGCCAGCCCGGGCAGAAAATTCCGTGAGACTCTTATCTCCAATAAACCACTAGAAAACTGGAAGTGGCGCTGTGGCTCAAGTGGTAGAGAGCTCGCCTTGAGCTGAAGAGCACAGGGATAGCGCCCAAGCCCAGAGTTCAAGCCCCATGACCAACCAAAAAAAAAAAAAAAAAAGCTGGTGATGTAGTCTCTACAAGTAAGTACAGTAGATGGATGTCTACAAAACTCTAGTCCTATAACACTATCACAGGAGCCCTTGGCTTTCTATTCCTTTTTTTATTCTTTTTTCTTTTGGTGGGTCATGGGGCTTGCACTCTGGGCCTGGGCGCTATCCCTGACCTCTTCAGTTCAAGGCAAGTGCTCTACCACTTAAACCACAGTGCTACTTCCAGTTTTCTGGTAGTTAATTGGAGATAAAAAGTCTCACGGACTTTCCTGCCCAGGCTGGCTTTGAACTGCGACCATCAGAGCTCAGCCTCCTAAGTAGATAGGATTACAGGCATGAGCCACCAGTGCCAGAACCCTCAGTTTCTATACAGCTTACAGGTTCCACCTGAACACACGAGAGAAATGGTACCTGTTCTTCAAGTATGTGTATTATATGCAAATATATGTACTATAAAACGTTATATGAACTATAATATACACAAAAGGTTTTGTTTTCCTGACATACATAGTATAGCCTGCTTTTTCTTTTTTTCTACCTATGTTGGTCTTTTTTTAAAAAATGACATTTGCTGCCAATTGTGATAAAATATTTTAAACTTTAGATTCAGGAGCATAAGTATAATAAAATTAGGAACTGAGGAGGAAGAAAAGGGAAAAAAACCAGATCACAAATACTTCATACATTTTCAAACATTAAAGGAAAAAAACAAAAATGTCAACAGTTTGTTTCTAAGTCAGACATGAGGATAATTTAAAGTAAGAATAAGCCTGTGTTCTGTTTTACCATCCTGAAACAACAACGTGTTTAGTGTAATTGGGTAATCTGTGTTGTAGAAGGTCACATGAAAATGGAATGGGGAACGTTTTCAGGACACAGGCAAAGATTTACAAAACTTAACATCTCTTTAAAAGCTCAAAACAAGCAGGCATGGTGGCTTACTAATTGTAAGATTAGCTACACAGAGGCAAGGTAGGAAGATCGTGGGTCTAAAGCCATCCCTGTGCCACAACAGCAACAACAACAAAAATCCTATATGAAAAATAACCAAAGTAAAACAAGGGCTGAGGATGCGGCTCAGATGGTAGAGGACAAGGACTTTAGTCCAACACTACTAGTACTGTCAAAAAAGAGGAAAAAAAAAAACAAAAAAACCACAGCAACCTACAGCTAAAAATTTCCAGCAAGCTGAATAACTAAGACTTCAACAACCACACAGTATGAAAATGCCCTTTTCAGTTTAAAGTTACTACAGAAATCACCTGGAAAATCCCGCAGGTACAAACATCTCCACAGCAGAGGGTCATTGGATGCAATCAGCAGGTCACGGCAAACTGCAGACAAAGATAAGACAGACCGAACATCCAGAAGTCGGAAGATCCGCAGTTTCAGCTCCAATGGGAGGACTAACAACCCAAACACATCTGGAAGGTTCAGTGCTAAGAGAAAAGAGAAGCAACAGGTCCTGGTGAATAAAGACCTCTTTCCTCAAAGTGCTGCCACCTGTCCCCCTTTCAAGCAGTGACTGACAGTGGTCTCAGCTAACCATGTACCATCTGTGATCAATTGTCTTTATTAACAAACAATTGCACAAGAGGGCGCACGCGTGCGCGCGTGTGTGCGTGTGTGTGTGTGTGTGTGTGTGTGTGTGTGTGTTCCACACACATATAATGTGTCCAGATCAGCATCACCCCTTTTCTCTCTCCTCTCCACCCCACTGGGTCCCAACTCCCCCCCTCTCCGGCCCACTTATCACATGCTTGCCTCTGACAAGTTACCTACTCTCTAACCCAATCTCTTCGTGTGTAAAATGGTTTATAATTTCATGTGCAAAATGGATTATAACTTCACAACCTACTTTGCTGTGTTGCTGTGAGAAATGTGCTACATAGCAGAAGGTATTTAGAACAATTTTCTGGCATATTGTAAGCAATTATCTGACATCTAACAGGCTGAGGAAAAGACAGAAAAATTCAGAAACAAAGCAAAGAAAGAATATGGTCCAAAGTCAAATGGAAATTGTTTAAACTGCCAGATGCTGGTGGCTCATGTCACTTTTGACTTGCTCTGCCCATGAAATATGAGTGGAAGATATCTGAGCCATAGTTTTGAGAAACAACACACAGTTAGACCACTGGCTTCTCCATCTAGCCCAGGAAGAGTGGGTCCAGGATAAAGATCACTCCTTTAGTCAATGCAAACCCACACATCACATGTGCCTGACTGAGAAAATAAATGTCTGATCTAGGTCATTACAATTTTTAAATATTTCTTTACTGTTACAAATAAAAGAAAGCTGACTAGTACAAAGTCCTGAATAAATTATAAACTTTAGTGAATTAATTTCTTCATCCATAAAATGAGTATAATAAAAATCTACTTCAAAGTTACTAGCACTGGTCATCCACTAACATGTAAAACATCTAAGAAAATGGCTGACACATAACACCCAATAAATATTGGCTTAAAAAAGAAAACAATAAAAAAAAGAAGGAAAAAAACCCTCAGACTCAATTTACAGGCTAACCTTATATATTTATGAGAACCCAAAAATGAGTAAGCTCCTATCCCCTACCTTCAAGTCACAACCTTAGCAACTATAATACACTGACTGAAAGCAAGGCTCTAAAAACCAGCCAAGGCGGTGAAGGTTATAATCCCAGCATTTGGGGGCAAAGGCAAGAAGACAAAAAGTTCAAGCCAGCCTGGGCTACATAGAAAGACCCCATCTCAAAGAAATAAACAAAACAAAATAAAAAGAATGAAATTCATTCCAAATGAACATTGAAGCTTGAAGAGAAGAATTTCAGGGGAAGGAAAGAGAAATCAGGTATCAGTCAACAAGCACACCAAGTGTCCCCATTCTAACAGTGATGATTTATCACCCCTCACCTTGTCTGGTGAAGGCTAGGAGAGGGTACACCAGCTGGTCTTTGAAGAGGCGGGACAGCTTCTGAAGATCTTTGTACACTTCAGCTGCATTTTCACCTATTTTTTTAAAAAAATAAAAAGTAAAATCTTTCAATGTCTGTATTCTACTTCTGCCAGTCCAACTAAAAGTAACAACAACAACAACAAAAACCCACTACAAACGATATACAGATAAGCCAAAGCAGAGGAAGAAGTACAGTAAATATTCCATGTAAAATTAATAATGGTACCAAGGTCACAGAGCCAGGCCCAATCTATGCAGCTTATAGGCTGCAAGTGTAGAAAAGGCTTATGGCAACGTTTGTTGAACAGCAAACTGCTGAGCATCTAGATATCCACACATCTGCAATGGGCACTGGCAGAGAGGGACACAGATCCCAGGAAGGTAACAGTACTTATGCAATGAGGAGTGGATCAGCAGTGTCAAGTGTTTTCCAGCCTTTGCATACATCAGAAGTTCTCCCACAAGTAAGAGGCAGGACGAAGCACAGAGAGCCTGTCCACAACCAGTGCCAAGAGACAGGACAAAGCTACACATGTCTGACTCTGAAGGATTCAATTTTAGTCACTTGCTACAGTGTGGCTCCACCAGAAGCGACATCCTGGGGGCACTGGTCAGACTATTCTTCTCCAGCCTTACTAACGCCTCACTCCACCAGATGATTCATAGGTACACTGATGTGCACAAGCTTCACCCAAGTATATCTAAAGTCCCCACTTCAGTTTTGCTGTCTACCAAGTGTTCAAGTTCGGGCAAATTCCCTTCCCATGGAGACCGTCACCTACCTGGCTCACCTACTTGAAGGAGACCCCGCACTAGAGCAGACAGGGACTATAAAATGTTAACGCTTGAGGCACAGTGTGTGGCATATCAACTGTGGATGCTTGTGTCTCCCCCTTTCTTTCTTTATGTATTTCACTGAGACAATGTGATCATTACAGCTTGATATACAACAACAAAGAGAGATGTAGCTAAACCCAAACTTCTGTTGTGTGAACCTGCCATCTTAGGTCTCATATCTCAAGTTATTATTTTTTTAACGAACTTGGCTCAAAGCTTTTTTTCAAATGTAAAAACTCATTTTGTTAGTTTTTTTTCCCCCTTCAGCAACCTATAAGTATGTGATTAGGAGCTTAGGAGGCCAAAAAACGTACTTGGTGTTAGTAAGTAGTTTATAACTGCAAGCGAAACTTTAGGAAAATGACTTGCCAAATGAACGGCATATTCCTACCCAGCATAAAAGGGCTTTATTAAAAATACTTAATTGGAACAGTCCATGGACTTATGTAAGGTATTAACTTTCCATCCCCTCTGCTATTTCCTTTTTCCTTATTTAACAGATATGAGTTGAAAACAGGAATTTGAGCTGGATCCCTACAAATCTTCCTGTGTGCCACCATTTATTATGTCTTTGACTCTGAGGTAACTTAACCTCCTCTACTCCATTTCCTGATCTATAAGCTGAACATGAAAGACTTTTACAGGGTATAAAGTATTTGGCCAACAGCAAGGTCTTTTGGAGTATGCATATAAATGCTATAACCAGAAATTTTACATTTTCTGAGCCTAACAGAAAGATCACATTCATAGACTCGTGTCTAATATGAGTTCTTGGTAGGAGCAAGGTCTCCCTCAATGGGAAAAACACATAAGCTTTTGGAGAATGAAACATCCTACAAATTACATTTCAACCCTCCATAATGCTACAATATGTAAACAAACGTATGGTGTATTTGTGGCATTAAAATTACACAGGAGGGAATAATGGGAAGGATGCTACAGCGGTGCCTTAGAAGAGTGATAGTAAAAATAAGGTTGACTAAGCCAGGCACAATGGCTCATGTCCATAGCCCGAACTACTCAGGAAGTGCAGATCAGGAGCATAATGGCTCAAGGCCAGCCCAAGCAAAAAGTTAGTGAGATATCATCTCAACAAATAAGCATGATAGTCCATCCCTAAAATTCAAGATACTCAGGAGATATAGATACGAGGATCACAGTGTGAGGTCAACCCTAAGCAAGGAGAAAAAAAAATCAAGACCGTATGAGAAAAATAAGCTAAAAGTAAAAGGGCTAGAGGTGAGCTTAAGTGGTATACCACTTGTCCAGTAAATTATAGGGCTGAGTTTAAACCTCAGAATCCCTCTGCTCAACTAAAAAGCCCAGAAGGTTGATTAATACTGGTCTCATCTGACATCATCTAACAGATGATGTCCAAATTCTGAGTGCATTCTGCTACTTTTTCTCCCATCATCTAGTTTAAGTCATTTTCTCCCTAGAATTAAGTACAGGCCTCGAGGCCTTTCAGGTAACTCCCTAGGTTGTGGGGAAGACTTTTTAGGGAAGGTCTAGCCAGCCTTTCCCTAAGAGGTGCTGCTGTAATTGCATAGTACCTCCCATCTGCCCCCTACCTCCTCCGCTTACTGCGAGGACCAAGGACCAAAGGGAAGGGCACACGCAGAGGCTCATGGTCAGCACAAAACAGAAACTGGGACGAGTCATTCCCTTCCCCCCGTGCTTCACCTCTGACCACCTGACTGCCTCAGTTTGAGTTTCACTGAAAAACAATTTTAAAAGAACATTTGTCTCTTCGGTCTGAAAAGTGAACCTCTCACAACTTCACTCCAAAGCTGAACGTCCTTACATACCTGGCTCCTCTGTGCAGACGAAGGATTCGGGCAGAAGCTGCAACCTTTTCACACTTTTAATGTCACTGCTGATTTTTAATGTAGCTGTAAATAAGCAGAACAAAGATGGCAGGCTTGTGTTTCCTTGTTTCCAACACACTAAGGATACGCTGTCCCCGGGGGGAAAAAAATTCTGGGCCTATTTCTTTTCCTCACAGCAAGGTCAAAAGTGTAAACCCACCATGAAGGAAAATCATTCTCAAACACCACCGTTACAACTACAATGAACATCTTTCTATGCAACCCACCAAACATCACCAGGAGCTTATTAGTAGTTGAGAGATGCAGCAAGGTTAATTGCAGGCAACGAAGCACAACGAACCCATTATTGCTAATGAAGTCACTAAAAACACATTTTTTTAAATTTAACCCTTGGCAATGGGTCTGCCCTTGTTCATTAAAACAATCCCGCCAGTTTTCACACCATCATCACTCTCTGGACCCAAAGGACCAATATTCTTGACATCCCGTAGCTGAATTTAGTCATGTGTACAAAGGCATGCTTCATCTCAGCCCATGAAAGAGGCAGTGATGTGCTTCTGCACGCCCTGCTGAAGAGAAGGTTCAAGGACACACTGTTCCTTCTCAGACTCGAGCCTGGGGGTGATTGGCTATGGTACAAATTTGCAAGTGACAGATTTGCCAAGAAGAAAAAGGGAACAAAATGCCAGACATTAAGAAATCATCAGGACATTTTGCAGAGACTATATTCATGTCATTAAGTGTTCCTATAAGAACTGAGACAAAACTTATTAATTAAAAAAAAAGAACTGAGGCAAAAATTATATCCTACTTCTAACTATCTGGTAACTTCAACCTTGCAAATGATGATTAGTTTATAGGAAGAGAAATTGCTGACACTTGGGACACAGGATCACCAGATTAAAAACTCCATCTGCTACTTGTGAAGAATTGCTAGACACTTAGAGGTCCCAAAGCCATCCCACAGTCACAGCCTGACAAAGGCAGAACACTGCCAAAGCGGTCAGCTCAACTCTGCAGACTTTCCAATATTTAAAGAATCTGGTAAGCTGGGCACCAGTGGCTCACACCTGTAATCCTAGCCACTCAGGAGGCTGAGATCTGAGGATTGTGGTTCAAAGCCAGCCCAGGCAGGAAAGTCCATGAGACTCTTATCTCCAATAAACCACTAGAAAATTGGAAGTGGTGTTGTGGCTCAACTGGTAGAGCGCTCGCCTTGATCTGTAGAGCTGAGGGACAGCGCCCAAGCCCAGAGTTCAAGCCCCACGACCGACCAAAAAAAAAAAAAAAAGAATCTGGTGACTGAAACAGCAAAAATTATATAAAGGGGGGCTGAGAAATATCTTCTACTTCAATAATTAAGATACCATAAATCACAAAATGTTTCATAGAAAACAACATTTCTTTCAGCACAGGACCTCAATAAATGAAGGGCAAACACGTGGTTTCCAGGTTCAGTGTGACAGGGCTGCCTCTGGTCCATCTCAGCAGAAATAAACAGCTGCAGAATATGCTGGAAGTCCCTGGCCTAAGGTAACAAAGCAGCAGCCTTTGCTATGCACAAAAGATGAGCTGCATGAACAACAAACAACAATGCAGTCATTCCAATTTTACTTCACCCTCTTAACTGGCTAGAAAGGATAAACCTTAAGACACAAACACAATAAACACAAAGCTCCTGGTGCTCACACTGCTTACATCCCCAGTATGTGTGACACCGGCCGTCCCAGAGACCACTGGCAGCTGGGACAGGCACCATCTACAGACAAGAAGCACTGCTATCCCAGCAAAATTTCTCAAGAGGGGAAAATCAACAAAGAGAGGAAATTAACAAAGGAATTCTTTATTCAGTGACTTCTATGGGGGAAGGGCAAATGAAACCCACACCAACTGAAGTCTCAGAACCTCAACAGTGTTTCTGTGCATTGCTTGTTAGATGCCGAAATGGTTAAGAGGACCCGAGTTCAATCTCATAATATTCGTTCAAAACTTTCATTAAGAAAAAAAGATAATAATAATAAATAAAGCCCAGGTATAATGGTGCATCTGGTATCCCAGCTACTCAGGAGGCAGAGAATGGGAGGACTGTGGTTCAAAAGCAGACTTCACACAAAAAAATTAGTAAGGCAAATAAAGTTGGGCATTGTTACATATATCTGCAATCCTAGTAATGTGGGAGGCAAAGGTAGGAGGATTGTAGTCTGAGACTAGCCCAGGCAAAAAGCAGAAGACTCTCTCAGAAAAATAACTAAAGCAGACTGGGAAGGTGGCTCAGTGGTAGAGGCCCTGGGTTCGATTCCTCAGCACCACATAAGCAAAAAGAAAAAAGCCAGAAGTGGCGCTGTGGCTCAAGTGGTAGAGCGCTAGCCTTGAGCTGAAGAGCTGAGACATAGCACCCAGGCCCAGAGTTCAGGCCCCACAACTGAACCCAAAAAAAAAAAAACTAAAGCAAAAAGAGCTTAGGAGTGTGACTCAAATGGTAAAGCACTTACACAACCAGCAAAAGTATAGCCAAAAACAGAATTTTTTTTTAAAATAAACGTACCACAGACAGGCATGAAAAGAGAAAACATACTTTTCAAAGAGTTCATATGCAGTAAGACTCACAACCCCTCAGAGCAAAATATTACATCAAAAGAATTATGGCTGCCCCAAGAGTGAAGGCCCCTGCCCACGCATCAACCTCAGTCTAGCCTTTGGTCATCCGTAGTGTAGGATTAAATGAATCGAAGGAGACTCAGAACCCCGCCATGGCAGCCAGTCCTGAAGTGGCTACACAGTGCCATGCTCTTTGCAGTTACCAGCCACCGTACTCTGCAGTCCAGTTACCATTTACGACAATGAGGTTTCCCAAAGGCACACAGGTGAGCGCAGCAGAGCCCCCCTCGCAGAGAGGATGTGTGTACTGCAGCTTGTACACACCACTGGACTTCCATTTCTCTGGCATGGACACTGCTTTGGCCTCCGTCCCCTGAGGAATAAAATGCAAACAAATAATGAAGAAGTATTATACTCAAAAAAAAAAAAAAAGATGGCTAAATGTCTAGGCCAGGAGGGATGATCATACCTATAATCCTAGGAGGCTGAGATCAGAAGGATCACAGTTCAAAGATGACTCAACTCTGGCCAAAATGTTTGCAAGACCCCATCTCAATCAAAAACATGATGGCACAAACCTGTTATCCCAGGTATGCAGAAAACTTAAAACAGGAGTATCAAAGTCCAGCCCAGGTATGGGTAAGTAAAGCTAAAAGGACTAAAGGCTTGACTCAAGTGAGTGGTTGAACTCTGGCCTAGCAAGTGTGAGACCCTGAATTCAAACTCCAGGACTCCTCCTCTGCACCAAAACCCCCAAATCCAAAAAGACCCTAACTTATTTAGGAAGAGAGCCCAACTGATAAAGAGTGTGTTAAGTCATTAATACTGCTGTTAATAGAGGATAAAATATTGTGACATTTTTCTATCAAAAATTGCACTGAGAGGGGCTGGGAAGGTGGCTCAGTGGTAGAGCGCTTGCCTTGCATGCCTGAGGCCCTGGGTTCGATTCCTCAGCACCACATAAGCAAAAAGAAAAAAGCCGGAAGTGGGGCTGTGGCTCAAGTGGTAGAGTCTAGCCTTGAGCTGAAGAGCTGAGGGACAGCACCCAGGCCCAGAGTTCAGGCCCCACGACCAGACCAAAAAAAAAAAAAATTGCACTGAGCACCAGTGGTTCATGCCTGTAATCCTAGCTACTCAGAGGAATGCAGCTCAAAGCCAGTCTGGGCCGGAAAGTCCATGAGACTCCTATCTCCAATTAAACACCAAAAATCCAGAAATGGAGCTTTAGCTCAAGTGTTAGAGCACTAGCTTTGAGCACAAAAAAGCTGAAAGGGCAAGTCCCAGGACAGACTAAAAAAAAAAAAAAAATTATTTGAGCCTTATTTATATTTTTACCTATTCAATTTCTCTCCAAAGATCACCTAGCAAAGTCATATCACAATTCAAAACTCCAGCTCAAACATGGTCCCTTCTGCAAAGCCCTTTCCTCTTACTGGTCATAGTTCTGTTGTATAATCTTATTATTTGTCAATTTGTTATATAACTATCTTTGGTTTGTCTCTCCCTTGCCCACTTATAAGCTTCTTGAGGAGTATCAAGGGTTATTCAGTGCATGGCATGTGCAACATGCAAGGCTCGGTGAATTCATCTACACCTTGTCACCCTTTATGTGGCCACAGGCCATCAGCACTGGTGTTATGCAGTAATGTGCAGAAGCTCAGAGTCATGAAGTCAGAATGTGCATTCTAGCAAGATTGATGGTATTCCTTAGCACATTCAAGTTTGGGAGAATATTTACATTCTCTGTGAATCCTTGGCACCCTGCTAGAATATAACAATACAGTAGTATTGTGGTTCAGATTCTTCTTTATCCCTGCCACAGTCTCAGGCCACTTGTTCGCACACACATATAAGCAATCTGACCACAGGTATGTCCAAAACTTCGCACTAGACATTCGTAGACAGATGTCTGTCAGTGAATGAGTGAAGATACGCAACTATAGCACAGGAGTAACATCTCTCTTCCTAACTGAATCTTACCAAATTCCTGACGTCTCAGTCATTATTGTGAAACATATCCTAGTGCACTAGCTGTCCACCACACCCAGTCCACACTCACCAGCACACTCTCATCCAGGCATTACTGCGTAACTCTCATGTAGCTTTTCTTTGTTTCTACCGTATCACCATTACCTATGTAATACTAAATACAGACAAAAGAGAAGGAGATAAAGAAGGGAATAGGGGAGGGCACACTGAGTACCTACTGCATTCAACATTTTACATTCACTACCCAACACTTGTAATCAAGGAGCCTGGAATGCTCCATTGCCCTCATGGTATTTCCTGACATACCCTTTCCCAGTGGGAAACTTCCACCCTCACAAGGTACCTGGGTTTGCCAGTGGACTTACCTGAGGTATGTAACCTGACTCCAGCATGAGGAGATGGACCAGCACTATCAAGGCATCACTGGCACTGTGGCAGTCAGCTGACTGATACAGGGTCTCTAAGGAATGTGGCACCTGCCCTTCCCCTGCTTCACTGCACAGCATTGGCTCTGAGGGAGAGAAGCCTGAGCCCTCGTCCATATCCATGGCATCTTGAATTGACTCAGCTTCCAAATGTTGACTAGGCCCTGGCTGAAAAAAAGAAACAAAAAACATATGAATTCATTAAAAATTCTTACTTTTACGCAGTACAATTTGTATCTTAAGTGAAATGAGATTAACGCTAAAAGCCCAATCACATGACTGGGTTCAGAAAGCAGAGATATTTCAAGGGAGTGCTGATAAATAATGAGATTGCAACCTACCACTCAGTCTTTTTCCACTACCTTCAGGGATTGTAGCTAACATTCCCCAAACCTGGAAGTCATCCTCAAGTCCTCCCTCCCTAACCAAAGCCACCCCAGACCTATCCATCTTCAAATTCCACCAAGACCTACTTCTGATACTGCTAAAGCTGCCCTTCCTACCCTGCTGGGCCTTGAGCCTCCTGGCTTCCCACACAGCACCCCTACAAGTGCCCTGCCCATCCTCCTCAGCTTCCAATACATTCTACCCTCAGCTGCCAGTTTCGTGGCAATTAAGAACCCAATCATGTCTTATATCCCAGTTTAAACTCACCAGAATTTTCCCAAGACGGGCAGTAGAATTTCTCACAACTGTGCCTTTGATAGCACCCCTAGATGTTCTTAGGAAAAAAGTGGTGCACAATCAAGTAGATGGGAAAATGACCTACACTTTTGCCACCTAACCACAGCCTCAATAATCACAAAAGACAGCATTAGCATTACAAAAGTTCTGAGAAGTCTGGAAATAATCATGGTAATTTGTGCCTAACATTTAACCAGGACGTGTTATCCTTCATCATCAAAGCTTAGGTTTCATGAATTTGTCATTAAGTATTATGAAAATCAAGGTTTTCAGAGAACACTCTAAGAAACAAAGCTACTAAATTAAGTCTGGGCTCCTAAGCTGATCCCCAACTCCATCTGCTCTTTTTCTGCCAGTCCTATCCACACAGTGTTCCCACATCAGCAAGGCTTGCCAAAGCCTTCATAGTTACATTGTACTGCAATTTTCAGATCACTGCATCCCTCCATGACTGCAGGCTTATAAAGTGCCAGATTACATACAAGTCACTCACACAGAACCCCAGCACAGAATCCAGCACAAATATTCAAGATGTTCAATCAATGCCTGTCAAACAAATATTGAGAGATGACATCTTACTATTTCATAGTGTTTTTATTTTCAACATGTTTTCTCACCATGATCTTCTTAAAGATGCTGTAATTGTAACTCTGAAAGATCAAATCACTAGTCATAGTTGCCAGCTTATTGCCAGCTTATAAAAATTTGGCTAAGTCATTATACTGATTTTGTTCAGAAAGCCATTTCCTGGGCTTATGCTCAACTCTTAATGCAAAGCAGATGTTTCTTTAAGTCTGCATTTCCATTAAACAAGGGGCAGAGGAAATTAAAATTACACAGTATAAGCTAAAGGCTGGAGAAATGTGAAGGAGACAGAACTGTCAACTGCTCCTTCGAAATCGCTGAGGAGCTAAGCCCTCATGGCCATAAAAAAACAAAATTCATTTGTGAAAACTAAAAAGCCAGTAATGATTCACCTACACCTTAAAAGGAGGGAAGGCACAAAACCATGTCCATGATTTTTTTTTTGAACAAACAGAAATGACTATGTTAAGAACTAATTAACACTGTACTAAATTATGAAATATAGTATATTTGCTTCTTCTCCCATTTTGCCTGAATTTTGAGCATTTACTACTTACTGACAATTCTGTGGGGTGGGATATATGTGGGAACATTTGAAGAAGGTTACCCTGGGCTAATCACCTGCAGAGAGAGATATCCCAGTGCCCTGGTAGGCAGGTCAAACCTTCCTCTGCCACGCTGGGAACCACAGCCTTTGCTGAGCCACTCTGATAGGACTGTTTATCAGTCTCCGTGCATGAAAATGGAAGATGCTAAGCACCAGTTTCCAAACTGATCATTTTGCCACTGGCCATTTACAACAGACTGCAACAAGTGACTAGAATGCACTAGGGCTAATATTCAGGCCTGGCACATGTCATCCCTGTTTCTCATTAAAGCCAACAAGTCCTGAAGGAATTCCCAAATATAGTAAAGAGAAAATTAACTTATATTTAATTACAAGAATAAAATTCACCTCCACTGGTTTCTAGTTTTATCCATCTATTTATTCATTTTCCTTTCCAATGTTCCTTCTGTTACATTTAATTAGCAGCAGATCACACTCTTCAAGGACTTGAGCATTATTTATGTACTTGCACATGAGAGCTTGTGAACAGAGGAGGAAGAATGATGGGGAGTCAGGTCTGGCTGGAGATGAGTTTGTAGGAAGGAACAGAAACTGGCCCTAAAACATTGGGTGGAAACTTTACAGAAAGCCCTGAAAAATAGGTATAGGACACTAAATTGTCTTCTGTGAAATGGCAGGGATGGACTAGAGATAACTGGTCTATTTTTAACACCAAAATTATGAGCATCTCTATGATACAGTTACTCAGAGCAAGGGAACAAAATAAAGCAAAGTGTGGGAAGTCGATTAGACTAACAGTGATGATGGATGCCCAAGATATCTCACAGGGCTTGCTAGAGGCCTAGAGAGTGAGTCACAAGACTCAGCAAAGGGCTAGGAAGATGGCTCAGTGGTAGAGTGTTTGCCTTGCGTGCACGAGGCCCTGGGTTCGATTCCTCAGCACCACATAAGCAGAAAAAGCTGGAAGTGGCACTGTGGCTCAAGTGGTAGAGTGCTAGCCTTGAGCTGAAGAGCTAAGGGACAGCGGCCAGGCCCAGAGTGCAGGTGCCACAAGTGACAAAAAAACAAAAACAAGACTCAGCAAAGCAGTAGTGTAGTAACACTGGAAGACTTTAGAGGAGAGGTGCTGGTTCTAGAAAAAGAAAACATCAGCACATATTACTACTAAATTTATGTTGGACATATAGTCTTTGATGACAATCGAAAATCCTAGCCATAAATGTTCCACAAATCACTTGGAAATAATTGGACTGTACATACAGCCTTAATGAATGAAGCAAGCCAGGAAGAGGGGGGAGGTAGGGAAGGGATGTGAAGGGTAAACAAAGGAGGAGGCTGCAATGCTTGATAAGAAATGTATGCATTATCCTGCCCATGTAATTGTAACCCCTCTGTACAGTATGTTCACAAAAAAAAAAATTAAATTAAAAAAAAAAATCATACACTTGAAGACAACAGGTAAAAGCTCTGAAGGAATATCTAAAGAAAATAGGTAGGGGCTGGGAAGGTGGCTCAGTGGTAGAGCGCTTGCCTTGCATGCATGAGGCCCTGGGTTCCATTCCTCAGCACCACATAAGCAAAAAGAAAAAAAAAAAGCCGGAAGTGGCGCTGTGGTTCAAGTGGTAGAGTGCTAGCCTTGAGCTGAAGAGCTAAGGGACAGCGCGCAGGCCCAGAGTTCAGGCCCCACGACCGGACCCCCCCCCAAAAAAAAAAAAAAAAAAGAAAATAGGTAAAAACCAGGCACAGTACTTCAGAATGCCAGTACTTCAGATGCTGGTCCAGGAAGTGTTTCACAAGAACATAATCTGCAACCTACTAGAGCAGATAATCCTAACTAGTGCAGAATTCAGCTGGGATGCCAATCTGACTCATCACCTACTGTATTTCACCTATGGTACCCACCATACTGTCATCCTTCCAGACGTCAGACTGGACTACCGGTCCTTGGAATAAATCACTCCGTTGTTCAGCTGGAATGCTGGCCTGATTGGTGGCAGTGGCCAAAGAGGGTTGGTCATTATTCTGGAGTGAGGAATGCTCTGAATCTGTGGATGAAGGTAAGTTAGGGGCTGGCATGGCATCTTCAAGAATCAAACATATCAAGTCCCCAGAAACAATCCCATACGAGGCCAAGGTCTCTTCATCTCCAGTGAGGGCATCCTTGTTGTTCAATGTAATTGCAAATCGGGTATCAGAACTGCCAAGAAAGATGGATAAGGATAGTAAGAGCTACCTATTACCATTCCTCTAAATAATACATTTGGAACATATATAAGGCACACAGTATGGCCCTATAAGAGCTAAGTAATGATGAAATTACTTGTCCATATCATCAGATGCCTAAAGTAGTTTTCTGATGACTAAAAACACTAGTGTGGGAGAGAGATACAGGACTTCTTTATTATCATATATGCCTTTATCAACATCCATTCTAAAATACATACTTTTTAACACTGACATCTTTGTTGTGAGGATGCTTCTTAAACTCCTATCAGTTTAATTTACAGCATTTCCCTGTTATGTGAAAGTATCTTATAATTGATAACACAAAATTCAGTGAAACACTCTTTCTAAAATATAAATTGGACTACACTATTCCTTTCTGAAAACCTACCACTGGCTGCTAATGAACTTGGGGCAGAGCTCTTCACAAGGCATCTGAAACCCAGTATCTGACTCCTTCCCACCTCTCTCATGGTGCCTGCCATCATTCCTTTCACTCACTGTGCTCCATCACCTGAGCTCTCCCCCATCTGTGCAGAAAAGCCCATCGACTACATTGCAGTCCTTGGGCCTCAGCAACTGTTCCTTCAGATCTTCAAATAACTGACTCCTCTTCATCATTTAGGTCTTAGCTCAAATGTTACCCTTTAGGAGAAGCTTTCTCCCAGGCCCACAGTGTTCTCTAGCCCACATCCAAGCTTTCCTCTAACACCACTACTTAAAACAGAGCACTTATCTAGCGACTGCCTTCCCCAAGCCTACAAAAAGTTTGAAAAGATCAAGAGTATTGTGTGTCCATTTTGAACTATGTCCAGCGCTCGGTAAATATTTAGTGAGACAACGGCAACCTCCAAACATTAGACGGGAAGACTGAGCTGGAGTGAAACACAGGCTGCTACGCAATGTCCTCACAGGACATTTGCTTACACTGCTGACTTAGCAGATCACAGTTGAAATGAATACGCAACCCAACACCAACCAAGATGAGTGCATGTAGATGATGATAATACAAATGCACCCCTCCTCCTGATGATGACAAGCACCAAATGCATCCTGTAGTGACACACAAGACAGAACAAACCCCACAACCCAGGGCTAACTAAGCTAAGAGATCAACAAGCCCTCAGCAATGAACTCTCATCCATTCGGCATAACAGGTGATTTGATTTGGGGAGAAATTAATCATCTTTGATCACACAGCTGTAAGGAATTACTAACAAACCACTGTAAGACACTGCATGACATGCATGCTCAGCAATGCTCATTACACCCATTTATAAGAGCTTAAGATAAATTCCTCTGCAAATTGGTTTACTTTTCTCACAATGCTACATGTTGAAAAACTCTTTAAAAATATCACAATGCTACATGGTGAAAAACTCCCCCCAAAATACCACATTTTCTTTCACATACACACATTTTTCACTAAGAGAGAATTTGATACAAAAAATAAATTTGATAGAGTAGAAGCTGCTCCCGCTTATTAGGAAACAAGTAGTCTGCTTGTTTTCAAAATGCTCCCATAAGCCTAAAGTTGAAAACCTGCCAACTGCCCATGAAAACAACATCCCGACTTCAACAAAAAAAAAAGGGGGGGGGGGGGAACAACAGCTCAAACAATGTTATTTATACACCATTTGTCATAGCAAAAGGTTGGTTCTTAAAAAAATAATAATAAAGTTTCTAGGACGATGCACATCCAAATCTTTTCCTGTACATTGTTTAATAAAAAGTATCAGCCTTCCTTCTCACTTTATAGGAAAAAGGAATGGCTATTTCTAAAGCAAAATGTAGTTTTCCACTGTTGTATTTTCTAAAATTAAGGGGAGGGGGAGGGTGTTGCACTTCACCAGAAAATTAAAGTCCAGGAACTCCAGGATTTTTACAGCAACTTTGTATCTACTTGCTCAGCAGAAACACTTTAAAAGTAACATCATGCAAACACAACGAAAAACTCCCCATTTACTATCAAGTAAGTATACTTTAAGAATTAATTTACTGCACTCATTACCTGACTTATGAAACTGTAACCCCCCTGTACATCACCTTTATAATAACAAAAAATATATTTTTTTAAAAAAGAATTCACTTTCACAAGCTTTCTTTTTTTTTTTTTTTTTTTGCTTATGTGGTGCTGAGGAATTGAACCCAGGGCCTCATGCATGCAAGGCAAGTGCTCTACCACTGAGCCACCTTCCCAGCCCACTTTCACAAGCTTTCAAACTAATCAGTCTCCACTACAAAAACCTGAAAGAAAAATCAACACGGTCATATTCAGTTTCACATCCTGTCCTACCTAGAAAAATTAATATATACATGCATATCTAAAAAGAGAAACTTAAAACTGTGTGGTGGAGTAATGATATCATCATGGAAAGTGCAGGTTTTCACAGCATGAATTAACAGGCATGTCATTATGTTTAAAAGGAGTTCCCAATAGTTCACTTTTTATTTTGTGTCTTAATCTGCGGGAAGGCAGACTCACTTTTAATCTAACAATGTCTTAACCCCCAAAACCATAGCATAGGAGGTCCCCAGCACGGCCCCCTTCCACTAAATTCCCTTTGAAAAGTGAAAGCTTGTGAAAGTCTTACAAACACAGCTTCTGGAAAAGCTGACCCTTCGGGGCTAACTCACTCTTCCTAAGCACACGGGAAAGTCAACATCAGTAGCTCAGTGGGTAGCTATTTGAAGAAGGTCACCCTTACAAGTATCTCTCTGCTCCCACGTTATTATCGTCCCAGAAAAACAGCTTCTCGGGAAAGCAGCCCCATGAATTCATAGAGGACTAGGGTCCCTTCTGCGTTTCGCCGCCCCAAACCCTGGCACACGCTGAGATCGGCGTTTACTTCTGTTGGTGGTGGCTGAGGGGATGGGGGCCCGGGCCCAGCCCAGGATCTGAACCCGCCGGTCCCGCCGCACTTGCTAAGACTTCACGGTGGGAAAGCGGCGCGCGCACCCTTCTGACCCAGCCTTTAAAACTTGCTGGCGGCTGGGACGGGTGACTTGGACGGAAGGCAGCCCGGGGCGGGGGTGCGGGTGGGGGGGGGCACACTACCCTCCCTACTCGGGCTTCGGGGAGAGTCTTGGCGGAGTTGAAGGCCAGCCCAGCTTCCCTGGGTTCCCTCCTCCCTCCCACCCCCACATCCCACCTCACCCCGTCACTCACCCCCGAGGGGAGCGGCGCCCCCGGGAGGCCGGGCCATGGTCCGTGCCGCGCAGGACCCCGCCGCTCGTCCGCAGGTGCGAAGAAGCGGCCGTCACGTGACCCCGACTCTGCCCGCCCCGCGGCTCCTGGCCCCGCCCCGCCGCTCCTGGCCCCGCCCCGCCGCTCCTGGCCCCGCCCCGCCGCTCCTGGCCCCGCCCGCGCCACGGCGGACCCCAGGGCCGCGCGTGACTCCTCTCTCCCTCCCCCCCCCCCCCCCCGCCGCCCTTCGCCCCTTCCGGAAACGCCCCACCTACCTGTACCCCCAGGTGGGCAGCAGGGCCCGACTCAGGTGCGCGCGCAGCTGGCCCAGCGTCGGCTCGGCCTCGGGCACCTCCAGCGGCCCGGTCCGCTTCTGAAGCCTCACCCGCAGCCTCATGGCGGCGGCGGCGGGAACCCCACGGGAGTGGGGTTGGGGGAAGAGGGGGAGTGTCGGCCAGCAGCGTTCGCCGGGGCTGACGGGGTAAAGCGGGAGCTGGGAAATCGCGGGAGAACAAGCCGCGCCCCGGAGGTCGTCTCAGGAGCCCTTCGGCGCTCAGGGCGCCCCCTGGAGCCGACCCCCTCGAGAGGCGGCGAGCCGGGCGCTGAGGGAGCCCGCCTCCGATCGACGGCTCGGCGTGCGACGGCGCTGCCTGAGCGCGAGGAGCGCAGTGCGCAGGCGCCGGGCCGGCGCGCTGCCGGCGGTGGCGGCCTCCGTGGTGGAGCGCGGGTTGAGCGTGGTTCCTTCCGCGGGCGTCCGGGCTGGGCGAGGGATGCCCGGGGACCAGGCCCCTGCCCCCCTCTTTCTCCCGCGGTGCCGCTCTGAGAAGCCTTAGATTGAGTCCAAGCTCCTGGTCGTTTCCTCGGATTGCAACGACACCTACTGACCTGTGTTCGTGCTCCCGGCCATCTGTTGCTCTTCCGGGACTTTTAAGTTCCAGGCCCAAACTCCTGGAGTCCGGAGGCCAGAGAAAGAGGATTAAGTTAACCGGACAGCGAATCATGGCCGGGTTGGGGGCGGGAGACGGGGGAGGAAGGGGAATAATAGGCAAGATCGAAGTTCAACTCATCTTCACTACCCAGACATTTGCTTTAGGTTTAAACAGAGGAAGAAGAGCTGGGTGCAAAGGGAAAGGCATGCACAATCACGAGCCTCAGCCTGTGCTTCCGTGGTCGTAGGTGGTGGCCACAGCTATTCTGGGCGTCCATTGTCCCAAGATGGGTCAGGTAGGACTCTGCTACCTCGTCAGTGCCACCTGGCAAATGGTTTGTCCTGCAGAGGCCCTGCTGGTCTTTGTGAGGAAAAGCCCAGGGCTCAGACAGAGACCTCAACAGATCAGACCAGATTTGAATCATCTTTTGCAGGGAGAGGGTCACGGAGCAGATGGGGAGACACAAGGAGCACAGGGGGAAGAGGGGTCCGGGGTCCAAAGTATAGCAGCCTGAGGAAGTTTTAGGTGCAGATGGTCTTACCAGAGTTAATGTGCACTTTTAGAAGGGGCAGGGGGGAGGTTTTGCCAAGAACTGGTCCTAGATGGGTGGGTGTCAGTGGACCAGGAAGGCAACATTGGGTTATGAGAGCAATGCAGTTTCCCACCAGTCATCCTTTCCCAGGGGAAGGGGACGTAATTTGTGTTATAAAGATGCGATTGGACCAATCCTGTCTGTCCTGGATTCCCAGGTGGCTGAGGTGAAGGTCTCAGAGCAAAGACAGGCACAGAATGGACAGAGAGAGGAGCAGCTTTTCTCCTGTGCTTAGTTAATTTGTGGGCCCAAGCAAGGAGTCTGTGCTTTTTAGGCAAACGCTGTTTTCAAGGGCTTGTTATATTGCTACTTAATGGCACCCAAAGTTACTTGGCTCTTTGTTAAAGCAGAAAGCATTTGTTGTCTCACAGGGTCATTCTGTAGATAAGGATTTAACTGTCAGAAGATTTGCTTCCAAGATAGCTTATTCATATAATTAATGGCAAGAGGCCATTGATTGGGTTTCTTTTGGGGGGGGGGGGGAGGGTGTACAGTCGTGGGGCCTGAACTCTCGGCCTGGGCGCTGTCCCTCAGCTCTTCAGCTCAAGGCTAGCGCTCTACCACTTGAGCCACAGCGCCACTTCCGGCTTTTTTTCTTTTTGCTTATGTGGTGCTGGGGAATTGAACCCAGGGCCTCATGCATGCAAGGCAAGCGCTCTACCACTGAGCCACCTTCCCAGCCCTGAGGCCATTGGTTTTTACGACTGTTTTTGTGTCTCTATAGCTTCTCTCAGAGCAATAGCCAGAGAGAAATCATGGATAAATCCACAATGTCTTTTATGATGTGGCCTTAGAAGCCACATACATTGCTTCTGCCATATTTGATTGGCTCCAAATCAGCCTTTTAATATGGAAAAATAAGCTGTAAAACATAAATACCAATAGAGTCGATTTCTAAGAGACTGATTTTATTATCAAGTTTCATCCCTGTGGGATGTGGTTAAAAGAGATGAGTAAAGTTCTTCCAGTAGGTGGCAGCACTTGTCCATGTCTTGTCCTTTATTCCTCAAACTTGTATTGCCTACTTTGCAACTGAATGCTGGAGACTCAAAAGACCAGAAAGAGATGTTCTTGCCTGTGTATAGTTTATTGTTGAATAAATCGACCCTAGTAGTTGTAGAGCATCAAAAGTGTCATTGATGGTTGAGGTAAGTGGGGAAGAGAGGCCCTGTGCCAGGGAGATCCTTATGTAGTGAGAAATACAGGATGGAAGAAGGATGGAGGACCAGGGTGAGTCCAGGCAACCGTAGGGAAAGGCAGTGTGGGTAAGTCCAAGATAAAGAGCCCTGGACTAAGCAAAGGGTTTGGAACATACATACCGTAGAGTGTAAGAGAAGCCACTACTAAGTTGAAAACAGTTTTCTACTACCAGAGTTCTTATTTCTGTTCCATAAAAGCTGACTCTCAAAGAATAAAGTTCTGAACCATGCTAAAAATCTAGCCTGCTTAGGAAACTACCCTGAACCGAATTTCTGTTGAAGGAAATTGCCAGGGACCACTGAGGAATGACTGCCACTACCTTGACTGCCCTCAAATGCCATGTTGTTTTTTTTTGGCTTCTTGCAAAATGTCAGAATTTAAGAGTCTGTTTTTGTACCCACTAAATCAAAGGCTTATAGGAGAGTATCTGACTGAAGGAGACTGGTTCTTATACCTGAGTCCTGGCTACAAAAGAGACTAGAAATCTGAGCTGAACTCCTTCCTTTGAGAGGGACAAGACTGATAAAACAGGAATTTTTCCCAAATATAGGGGAAGACTATTCAAAAAACAATAGGAAGTTAACAAATCTAACACACATATACTATTGAAGCCATGCTTAGATCGGAAATAAGAATATATCACTGGTGAGAGTATGGTGGTGTTGTGGGGTCCAAGAATGAGTCCACTAAAGTGGATTTAGGATTTGAAGAAGTTTGTTGAGGTGTGGCAGAAGCTGACCAGCCAGGGACTCAGTGTAGACTCGGGAGCTAACAATGACTCCAAGCTTGGACACAAGCTAGATTTATAAAGGCAAAAACCACAATCAGGTTCAAGCTGCAAAATTCCAGTAATATGATAACATCAACTTTTTTGAAACAGGAGACTTTTACAATGGCAGTTACCTGTTATTGAATTCCTTAGTTCTCAGTAAGAGGTTAAATTTCTGACTCAGGTTCCTTACTTGGGCTAGGGGCTTTTTTTATCCTAAGAGACCCTTACATTCCCCCCTTCTTTTTGTAATGGAGTCAAATCCTTGACTCTTCTTCCTGACTCAGGGAGCTGCACTGGGCCCAAAGGACCATCAGCTTGACAGTCCCAATCCTATTTTCTGATTTTTTTTTTTGGGGGGGGGGGCCCATCATGGGGCTTGAACTCTGGGCCTGGGCGCTGTCCCTCAGCTCTTCAACTCAAGGCTAGCGTTCTACCATTTGAGCCACAGTGCCACTTCCAGCTTTTTCTTCTTATGTGGTACTAAGGAATCGAACCCAGGGCCTCATGCATATAAGGCAAGCACTCTACCACTGAGCCACCTTCCCAGCCCCTCAATCCTTTTTTGTATAAATATCAAAGGGTTAACCACAGAGGGACTAATACTAACAAGTAGAAGCAATAGTTTTATTGGGCCAGCTAGGGGTACCAGCCACCAGGCCAAAAGGCTTTGAAACCATCCTAGATCTAGGTTAGCAGATGGGCGCCGGTAGAGTCCCTTGCACAGTTTTTCTAGAGCTTTTATGTTTTCTTCTACCAGTTCTGATTCATTTACATAGTAACAGCATTCTTTTTTTAGGAATACTCAGGTCCCCCTTGGGCAGCTGTCAGAGAATTCCCTCTGCCAATGAGTCTACCTGGCTGCTCTAACTAAACCAGCATCTAGATTGAAGTAGGCCCATCCTTCCTCCCTGCCATACAGATAAACATAAAGAATAGTTCTACATCAGTGCACCCATCCTGACTCTATGTATATCATAGCTAGTTTAATTTCATACCAACTTTACTCATAAGCTCCATTTTATGACATATTCATACCATTTGCTACATACTTAAACTTTCTGGGGTTTGTCTTCCCTTTTCCACTCTGGGACAAACATTTTAAGACAACCCTTACTTTTCAAACCCTGTCTTATCAGAGGAAGCCATTTTTCCCCCAATTCCTTCCCAAGGCTTTCTTTACTACCCTCTTTCTTTCCTTGAGCTTCGTTGCAGCTCAAGTTTGAAACTGCCATTTTTTTTTTTCCTTTGGCTTGGGGAACCAGGTTATCTCAGAACTGCCTCAAGGCAGTTAGATTTTTAAGGCTAAGAGCAGAGCTGGGTCTCATTCCTCTTACTACCTCCATTGATAAAGATATCTTCTTTACAGTGGATAGATTCAATCACACCTTTAATAGTCCCAACCTCAAGAGTCGTAACCTTTGAGTCACCTGATTCTTCATTGTAGGACTGTTTTGCACATTGTAAGATATTTAGTGGGATCTCTGGTCTTTTATCACAAAATATGAATATCATTCTTTTCCCTGTTGTAGAGACCAAAGCATGGCAGCACTGCCAAATATCCCCGGGGAGGCAAAAAATCACTTTGAGAACCTCTAGATTAGAGACTAGCTCCTTTGGTAACAGAAGGGAAAAAGGAGGAAATGGAACAACAGAGGAAATGGGGCACTGCATTGTGCAGGAAAGGGGTACAGATGAGACCATAGAAAATGACTGCTTGGATGCTGACTAAGGGTTCAGATTCTGTGGCTCTAACAAAGATCTAATATGTCTTTATCTGACCTTATCAACTTACAGGTGTTCATTCCATTTTGCAATATAGTAGAATGCTGGTTTTTGTTGCTCAACTCTGGCCATTCGGTGATTTTTTCATTAGCTCCTATATCCATTTGATATTATGGAGGATTTTTGCTCATTTATTTGTTTTGTTCTGTTGTAATTTTTTTTAGTTTTCTCTTTCTGGAACTATTTTCTGGCACTAGATAAATGCTGGGATGTTTTCT